TCCAACTGTTGATATTCTGAAGAAATCTTGGCTGGCACCTTGGTACAGCAGAGTCCTCCCTCTGCCTGTCCCCAAGTTTAGTTTGTAATTGCTATTCTCTGCTATGGTTTCCTTTTTTTTTTTTTTTTTTTTTTTTGGCAATTGAAAATTATTATTTTTGCTGCATTTATGGAGTATTTCAAGATATGCAGATTAAAAGCATGAGACTAAACCACAGAAGGCTTCAGAGAAATGGGGAGTCTTCTAGCCTTTGCTCCTTTTTCCATGTTTATTTGGATCAAGTGCACTGGATTCAGACTGGGTTTTTGACCAAGTGCAGAGGCTGCAATAGGTCTAAGTTTAATGCCTTTTAGTGACTCTGGAACATGAACACTTTTCTAAACATGAATAAAACATAATCAACAAGAAGCTTGGGAAATTGACCCCCAAATGCATGAAACTTGATTTATCTGGTTAGACAGCATAACTACTAATATTCTCTGACAAATGAAGAAGCTAGAATGTGATTTCTGATCAGTTAACTAGAGGTCAGAAATACCTGGGCTGCAGTTTGACTACAGAATTCTTCCTTCTTCCTTGTAATATCTCCTGAATTCTGCACCCCGATGTCAGTGATCTGGTTTTTCAGATGCTTTTCTGTGCCATGTGTGCAGAAGTGCAGCTGGAAAACTTGTGGGCATTTGCTTTTTGTTTATCATCCTCTGAAGTCCCAGCTGTTGGCTGGAGGTCATGGATACGGGCAGACTTGCATCTCAAGAGATCTGCTGTTTATTTTGCAGAAATAAATAAAAAAGTACAAGCTTGGCAGTTTTCTCCTACACTTCTTGGACCTGCTTCTCATCTGTGCTGTAAAGGGATCTTTTAAAGGCGCTGTAGGGAGATGAACACGCATCAGGAGCAGCTGGCAGCATGGGCCCTTCTCAGAGCAATGAGCACTGTGTCCTGGCCATCAGCTGCACCAGGCAGGGCAGCAGGGCTGTGCCCTGGAATCACTGATCCAGCTGCTCCATATCCTGTCTGTCTCCTTGTCCTTTCCCATCTCTGTGGGTTCAAGGCAGTTGGAGTATTGCTGCTCCTGCTGTGGGGTTTGCCATTTGTGATGAGTAGGACGTGCCATTTAGCAAGCAGGCAGTGAGTAGCTGCTATTGGCTTTATCTCAGTCTAGTTTGTGGTTGGAGACCTGTGTGCTGGTTGTGGGTTTTTATGTGCGTCACTGAACCCAGAAATTTTATTATATTCTCAGAAAAGGGTTTTGCAACAGCTCAGCTATTAAAGCCAAACCATGTAGTTTAGTAAAAAGTCTGGGCAGGAAACAACAAAATGAAATTCATCCTAGGGGAGAAGCGTGGTGCATGTAGGCTGGGAAGAGAATGCAAATACACTATTTATAGGACTAGAGGAAAACAAATTTGACTTGAGGAGTAAATGCGAAAGAGTTATCCGGGAAAAACCAGCCTTGGCCCTCTGAGACACTCAGACCTGTGCTGCCAGAGTGCTTATCCATTTTGGAGTTTGTTACATTCCAACAAAGGAGAAAACTTCGACGCTGAAATCCATGCTGCACAGAGTCCCTTCCAGCAGTGTCTTTTAGGAGTTTGTGCTATGGATGACACCTGGGAAGGGGAAATTCTTGAACCAGTATTTTTTTAAGCAGTACCAACACAGCTGAGGCCAGCGCCTGCTCCAGGGAGTTCTGCAGGAGGAGCAGGCAGAGCTGCGTGCAGGGAGAGGGGGAGGCATGAGAGCATTTGCTCCTGATCAGACAGATCTGGTCAGTGGCAGAGCCAGGAGTGCAGCCCGGCTCTGTTCTACTCATGTGATGCTTCTGGAGTTACTCTGAGGGTGGCCAGCAGAACTTTGTGAGGAGTGCAAGAGCAGTGCTGTACCTCAGCGATATCCTGCCTCGAGCAGCGTGCTGGCCTCGTGACACTGCACGCTCAATGGGGTAACGTGGGCACAACTTTCTCTATAGTTTCTTTTACATAATTTGTGATTTTTCATTTATAAATAGATGCTAAGCCCTCCTTTCCTTCCACTGTGGTTTTTGGAACAGATTCTGACACCTCCATTGCCTGCAGTTCCCTGCTTTATTCTGGATCATGTGCTGCTTTTAGGGCATTTGCCTGTAATTAGTGTTCCATATAATGAAGTGTGGAGCTCTGGCTTTACAGAGTATGCTGATAGCTCATCCTTCTTCCAGGAAAAATAAATCTTGCCTGATGGGAGATCCTACACTAAAATAACAGATTACAGTCAGACTGCAGAGCTGAGCTGCTGCTTTAGACACAGGCCCATCAGGGCTGGCTGTACCAGTTCCAAAATCACTGTGCAATCTTGCCTCTGTCCCCAGGTGCTCTGCAACCCTGTGGCAGGCCCAGGAATGGGGAAGGATGAGGACAGCCAGGGGCAGCAGCAGCAACATCCCCCAGTGCCCTGGGAGTTCCATGTACAGGCTCACAAACACGCTGAGCTGCTTGCCTGGGGCTGGATGTTGTGGTTGCAGTTTGTATATCAGAACACATCTCTTCATTGGCCCTTCTCTCGAGTGGCCTCTGCTAAGAGACAAGACTTGGGTGATTTCTGTCTTCCTTCTCTTTTCCATGACATAGCTGTTGCACAGTTGGGAAGCTGTTTCTCATTTGTGTAAGCTGATTTTTGGCATGCTGGGGGCTGTTGAGTCTACAAACTTCCTGCAGCCTCTTCTTTCTGCCTGTCCTGAGGGGCCCTTGCCCATGTACTCATCCCAGCCTGCCCAGTGTCAGTGTCCATAGAGGGGAAAAGCACACTGAGAAGAAAGAAAATTTAAACCAAGCCCCGAGCAGGAAAATCCTTGGGACAGCACCTGCAAGCTCCTTTCTGCCATGGCAGTGAACAGGAGAGCCCCGTGGGCAGGCTGTTGTGGGAAAGGACGTGTGACAGTGAGAAAGCAGAAGGTCAGCACTGAGGCAGCCTGTGACACGTGTGTGCCCCAGCGTGCACAGGGCTCCCTGGAGGATCCCAGTTTCCTGGACGATCCCAATTCCCTGGATGATCCCAGCTGCCTGGAGGATCCCAGCTGCCTGGGGATCCCAGTTCCCTGGATGATCCCAGTTCCCTGGATGATCCCAGTACCCTGGGGGATCCCAGCTCTCTGGAGGATCCCAGTTCCCTGGGGGATCCCAGTTGCCTGGAGGATCCCAGCTGCCAGGGCGATCCCAGCTCTCTGGATGATCCCAGTTTCCTGGAGGATCCCAGTTCCCTGGGGGATCCCAGTACCGTGGAGGATCCCAGCTGCCTGGAGGATCCCAGTTCCCTGGAGAATCCCAGTTTCCTGGGGGATCCCAGCTGCCTGGAGGATCCCAGCTGCCTGGAGGATCCCAGCTCCCTGGAGGATCCCAGTTTCCTGGAGGATCCCAGCTCCCTTGGGGGATCCCAGTTCTCTTGGGGGATCCCAGCTGCCTGGAGGATCCCAGTTTCCTGGAGGATCCAAGCTCCCTGGGGGGTTCTAGCTGCCTGGAGGATCCCAGTTCCCTGGGGGATCCCAGTTCCCTGGAGGATCCCAGCTCCCTGGAGGATCCCAGTACCCTGGAGGATCCCAGCTCCCTGCTCCAGAGCCAGGGGAACTCAGGGCAGGGCACAGCTGAGGGGCTGGTGCAGAGAGGGCAGCCAGAGCACAGCCTGCAGCAGCCCCTGCCCGTCACACGGGGCCCAGCACATGGCACACATGGCAGGGACAGAGCCCCTGGGCACTGCCTGGCACACAGCAGCAGCGTGGCAGCCACTGGGGCCCAGGCACTGCTGAGCCCACAGCCAGTCCCTCCCGAGGCTGGTCCTGCTCTGCTCTGCTGTGGCCAGAGGAAGCACAGCAGGGGTGGAAAGAAGGAAGTGCTGTCAGCCCCTTTATATAAAAAGAGGTACTGAGAACGAGTGGTTGGGATTTCCAGTTCATTGCAGGGCTGGTGCTCCAGAGCCCTGTTGGGAAGTTGTGGTGAAAAGGCTCCTCTGGTTTCAGCAGGGGTGGGCAGAGTGAGAAGGCAAAGGGATGGCTGAGTTTCTAGGACATGGCAGTCCTGGATTGCCTCTCCTGGGAATGGCAGTGCTTTGCATTGCTCTGGGCATTACAGGAATTGGAATCACTTCACTATTCACACACTTTTTGATAAATCTCAGACTGCATGGCACTGCTGTCACAATTTGGTGTGTGGGCAGGGACAAACTTGTTATAGCTGATAGTTGTAAGGAATAGATTGCTCATAAAACATGCTCTCAACTAACTTCATAAAAAAAGCACTTAAACTCTAAGAGGAGACACATGATAATGGTCAAAGAATTCCATGTTTGCTTTTTCCTTTACATTTTCAGTCTGATCATGTCCCACATGCTAAAATTTGTTGACTAAGAACGTTTTGATTTATAAATCATGGATCAACTTGCTTTGAGGCATTGTTTTGTTAGGAAGGTTTTGAAGCTTAAGCCTGCCTCATGGGAATGTGTGACACAGTGAGCAATCTTTGGAGAGTATTTTCTTTTTGATAAGCAAACATAAGGCACAAACAATACTCCTTTTTGCTGTTTTATTCTTTTGTGCCTTAAGTGAGGAATTCTGTGTAGTGCATTTGCCATGAGATGGTCAGGTGATAAAAGCTTTGGAATAAAATTTTAGAATAGATGTGCAGAAATCATCTAGTCCAGCTGCCTGAATTTTTGTTCTTTTAAGTTAACTGGTTTTAATGTTGATTTTGTAATAGAAATGCCCATCAGATAACAGGCCTCAGAGTCTTTAGGTACTTTGGCTGTTTCTGCTCAGGCAGGTCCTGCCTTCTGCTGAAATGCTGAAGAGCAAAGATGCTCAGTGTGAGGGAAATGCACTGCGTGGATTTCCCCGAGAGCTCGTAGGAGGATGTCACTTCTGTGTCACGAAAGAGCCCTGCTCACAAGCCAGCATGCCTTGTGAACCAGCACAGCCTGGCAGGGGCCAGCCCGTGCCAAGGAGGCTCACAGTTTGTGTTCTGGGTCCCCAGGTGAAGCTGATTGACTACATCCACCGGCAGCGGCAGTGCAAGCTGAGCGTGCCCCTGAGCGACCGCACGGCCGAGCTCAACAGCTACCCCCGCTTCAACGACTGGCTGGACATCGTCAACGTCAGGAAGGAGGTGGTGCAGGTAAGGAGGGACACAGCCCTCACAGAGCCCTCCTGTCCCTCCACTACATTCCCAGCTGCCTGCTGGGTCTGAGAGCCACGGCGGGACTTAATCACTTACTGCCTTTTTGTACTAATAGTTCTGTGCTGCACTGTGTTCTGTGTCCAGCATTAGCCAAAACAGACCATTGTTACAGTCTCACACACACACACGTACAGCTCAGTCCACTGACAGGCTAAACAAGGCAGAAAAGGCTTTTTCTATTCTTTTTCCCATTTTTGCCTCTGCAGGCCAGGTCACGATGTTCTCATTCAGTTTCCTTTGATTGCTAAACAACCAAAATTTTTCTTTGACCTCAGCAGGAATCTGCCTGGCTGAAAAATTCCACAAATTTTCATGGAAGTTATCCCAGCTTGGTTCTGATGTAACTAAGTGGGGTCTCTGGTGAAACAGTATGGGTTCAGGACCAAATTGTTCCTTTTATTTCCTACTGTTCATTTTGAATGTGGTGCTGGTGTTGCCTTCCAGCCCAGCGAGGTTTTGGGTGACACAGCCAAAGGTGCAGCAGTAACAATGAGAGGACAAAAGCAGCCTGTTGCTGTGGCCAAACTGCCAGGCTCCCAGCTAGTATTGGTTTCTAAGGTTACTGGAATTGCCTGAGTCTAAAAGAATGTCTTTGTAGCTCTTTTATAAATCCTTTGTGATGCCTACAGAAAGGAGGGGGGAAGAGGTGAAGAAAAGGGAGGAGGGAGGTGGACAGTTCAAATCTGCCACATTCTGCTAATTCAGGAAGCAGAGAGGGTTGAGACTGCCCTTCTGTATGTGTGGTCACTAAAAGGGGTGAACAAATTCAGGTTTGGTCTAAGGCAGAATGTATTTCCCAGATCTGTATTATTTTGATTTGTGCTCTCTTGCTGCCCCCTCCCAAGCAGTGTCCAACTGAATGAACTCTTTTCCTTCTGGGACAGAACTGTAAGTGTACAAAGCACTGGAATTCCTCTGGGATTCCAAATGTATGGTTATCTTTTAAGGGTTCTGCATGCATTTCATGCAGCTGCAGGCAGCTTCTGTAGCACTTGTATTAACTGGAGAGCAGAACTGCAACACCCTGTGTGTCATTAAAATAATTTCTGAGTAGACATGCTGGAACAGGCTATGAGCTGGGGGAAGTGGAAATAGCTGGGCTAATAAGCTAAGTGCTCTGCTCTTGCAGTGATTTTTTTTTTTTTTTAGTCCTGTTATTTCACTGCTCAAAAAATAGCCATGCAGCCACTGCTGGTGTTGGACACTGGCATCAGCACAGTGCTGAGAGCTGTCTGGGATGAGTTACCTTTCAGAAATGTCTCAGGTATCATGGGATCATTCCTGCTGTTGTTTAGATTTCATACAGCATGTTGAACTGCATTTCAGCTGAAAGCTTTCAAAATGGAAATCACTGACAGAAGGAGCTTTAATAGGTTAGTTATTACAAAATCTAGTGGTGTCCTGCTTCATGCACCCTGCCTGTGACAGGATGGGGAGGAGCCTTTGCAGACAGGGTTGAGCAGGTCATGCTGTGAAAATGGGCACCCTCGAGTGGTCTGGCTCTCTGCTACTGGGAACAGCTTCCCATCTCTCAGATACTGTAGCTCGCTGTAAAATGGAAATAGGCATGCTGGATTTCCTTCTTAAGGATTCCAAAAAATGGTGTAGAGAGGAGGAAAACTGTGCAAGTGTCACAGTGTGGTCACCTGGCACACAGCCCTCTCTTCTTGTGCCTTTTAGGCTCTGAAACTAGTTGGAGAGGTTTCCAGGTACCTGTGGAGTCTCAGAAGAGCTGCCTCAGAGCCCTGCCCTGGGCACCTCTGAGAGCTGAACAGAGCAGCAGGTCTGGCAGGAGGAGGTGCAGTGGAGGGCTCTCTGTGCCTGCTGCCTGTCAGGGACAAACCACGAGAAAGGCCTGGCTTGATGGGGTTTTTGCTTTTTTAAATGGTCCTGATTCCTTTTGCATTTCTAGTGCTACTGGAGGCAGTATTTTCAAGACTGTGCTAATCTGTGACATAACACTGTTGAAAAGCAGCCTAATTGCAGCAGTTCTTTAGCTCAGCGGTGAGAGGAACAATGCTCTGTTTCTCTGTCTCCCCTCCCCTCCCCTCGCTCCCCCCAGCCCTCTCCCAAATAAAGCTGCCATGCAGGGAAGCACAGAAGCTCCCAGGCTCTCCTGTCAGAAATAGAGCAGCAGCTCCAATTTAGAATATCTGCTGACTCCTCTACTCCTGAGTGAAGACTATTTTTGCTCAGTGACTTGCTCTAGACATTGTGAAGCTCGAAAGCTCTGGTGATTATAATTGCTGGGCTCCTTTATTTCTTTGAAAACCTATATTTAAAACGAGAATAATGACTGCCTGTAAAATCCTTTAGTTCTGGAGGAGATTACAGCAATAACAATGCAGTGTTTATGGCGTTGGGCAACAGCTAAAGCTGCCGGGAGCGTGGACGGCAGCGAGCCGGTGACGCTGCGCCGGGTGCGAGGGCTGGGCTGCGCCGACCTCGCGGGCCTGCAGGTAGGTGGGCACTGCCACCCCAGTCTGGGAGCCTCTTTGGGAGTGCACAGTCTGAGGGGTAAGGACACTTGGAACCCCCACCCCAGCCTGTGCCTTTTCTGTCGCTTTGTTACTGTTAATCAGTTGCCAGACAGATTTTTTACCATAGAAAGTGGTGGCGGGCTCTGCTCTGGAGCTGGGCTAATGTGGTGCTGTAACTCAGTGTTTGATTCTCATAGGCAATGCTGGAGTCCTTGTTTTTGCTTAGGAGTTCTAGAATCTGATCCATTCTAGAGATTGATTAATTCCAGAGACCGATTGTATGTGTAGTTTAATGCCAAAAATTATGTACAAATGGTTAAATATGCTGGGATGAAAGTGAGCAAAGAGGTATTTGAACTGAGACCTAGAAAAGACAGGGCAAGGAGCCCTACAGACAGAAGGTGTGTTCATGCTATGTAGTCATCTTGAATGGGTAAAAGTTGCTCTGAAAACGGTCCTAGAAAAATACATTGCTCTGGAATGTCCTGCTTGCCTTGGGAGTTGGAGTCAGGAATTGGGAGGGCAGTGGGAGGGAAGGAGGATGAGAACAGAGTGCTGTCTCCACTCCTGAGCTGATGGAAGAAGCCTCTTGCTATTTACTGGGTTCTCAGCTTGGAGTATGTCTGCCAAATAGAAGAGACTAAAAGAATTCTGTTGGCTTATTTTCTTCAGCCCAGAAAGCGATTTTCTCTGCCTTTATCACTGTGCTTCCCAGAAACATAACTATTGTATTTGCTCCCACATGTAACTTGTCACTGTCTTAAAAACTAACTTAAGAACAGAGTAATCTCCTTATCATCTTCTGAAGCATGTCTGGGCCAGCCCTGCTGGCTGTGGAGCAGGGGTGCCAGTCAGTCAAGCTTGGAAAGCTGTTTTTAGAGTGGGAAACTGTCCTGCACAGGGAGGGGCACATCCTGCCCCGGGTCTGGCCATCAGCAGGGCTGTGTCACCAGGGAGACTGGGAGCAGGTGGAACAGGGCTGTGGTTGGGGCTGCTTTGAGGCTGTTCCTTTTGGGAGCAGATTTGAGTCCCAATTGTACCCTTTTCTGGGATACTCCTGCCTGCCTGTGAAGCCCATCCCCAGCCAGCATCGATGCCAGAGAGCTGCAGAGCTGAGCGAGGCAGGGGCAGGGCTGGGCACAGCAGGAGCAGAGCAGCAAGGGCTCATGCCTTGAGCAGGAATTGTCTGCCCAGAGCCTCGTGCTGCCCCTGGGAAAATGTCCCTGCCAAGGGTGAGCCACGGGCCTGGGGCTGCTGCTGTGAGCCCGTGGCAGAGGGTTCTGTCTGCACAGGGTGGCCCAGCTCGTAGCAGATCTGTCACTGGAGGAGTTGTGAAGGTTTTTGTGACTGCATCCTTTGGATGGGGGATAGAAGAGGCAGATCTGCCTACGCCTATCAGGTTTCCCCAGCTGTATCCTCTCATCTTTTTCTGTCAGCATATCTGCATGAACAGGCCATGAGGACCGTGGCTGTTTGCTGGGGATTTCCATGGGTCTGGCAGCAGGAGCTCTGGCTGGCCGGTCAGATAGCAGAGATCCTGGATGTGCTAATTGTGCCTATGCAAATTAATTCTGTCCTGCATGCTTCCTTGAGCTATAAAATTCCTTCAGTGTTCCAGCTGAAGGCCCCTCCCCAGTGTAAACAGCTCCTGGAAGATTGTCTCTACCACTGCCAGGGCTCCCCTTCCCTGCCAAGGGCTCCAGGTGCCCCTTGCAGCTTTGGGCACTCTGAACCCTTCATGGCTTGAGGTCAGCCTGAGGGATTGGCAACTGCTACACCTGTCTGCCACAGAAGAGTAGTGACAGCAGCTCTCCTGTCCCCAAAGAGCCAGCTGGACAATGTCCTGAGCCTGTCAGCTCCTCTCCAGCCTCTGCTGTGAGGTGGAACAGTGAGGGTGATGTTAGGTGGAACCATGGCCTGTTTATGCTCACAGCTTAATGCAAGCTGGAAATTTCAAGTGAGAGGCTTTCCAGAATGCCCATAAAATCTCCAGGAATTTAATAATACAGCAATTTTTCAGTACCTTCCTTGCTGGGCGCCAGAAAAACACTGCAAAATAACAACTAGCAGGCACAAGATGTTCTTAAGAGCATCTTTACATGCTTTGCTTAGAGCTATCAGTGGGAATTTAAGCACCTTATGTAATGGGCTTTCTCTTCTAGCATCTGCTGCTTCACGGGAGGATGATTGGAGAGGGAATGTATTGATTTAAGAGGAGGCATTTGGGGCCTTGACAACTGTCCAGCTTTACAGGAGGAGCTGTGGCTACTGGGTCGAGGAGCAGGTCAGGCTGATTTTGCACAGTGCCTGCAGCAGCATTAGCTACGTAGGCTTATCTGCAGGGTGGAATCTTTACCAAAAATAACCCCTCCACTGTGTTAGATACCACCATTTTTGCCATGTTTCAGGGATTTAAGTTGGACACCAGACAAGATTAAAGACTGTTGTGAACTCTTCACCCAGACTAATTGAGACTGACCCTTGGATGGCTCCTTGGATTCATTGGTACTCACTTTTCTCTCTTCAGACATGTGCACCATGAAGTGAAGTCTGTGTCTAATAAGCAGGAGGGCTTCAGGGAAAAGTCCTCTTACCTGTTGTAGAGAGGAATAATTTCCTGCTTTGGACTTTTTAGCATCCCTTTTGCTGAGCAGTGCATGGTTAGGCTTTAGATTTTGCTGGCAGTTATGAGGTGCTGAAGATTGAAAGCAGATTCTGTCTCCTGCTTTTTCTCTGTTTTTAAATCTGACCTTATTAGTAGAGTACTGTCTGAGTATCTTGCAGCTCTCCCTGTCAAGACAAGGTGTGCCCAGGGTGGTGGTGTTGGGCTTGGTCCTAATGCAAGCCTTTAACCTGCATTTTTAAAGCTGTTTTTTAAAAAAGCCTCAGCACCCACTGAAGAAGCAGGTAAAGAGAGGTCAGCTGGACCCACATTTCTCACCATCAGTGCTGAAGAGTGGGAGTGACCCCTGTGCAAGGGCCCAGAGCTGCACTGAGGGGCTGGAGCCCCCCACGTGCCCCTGAGCAGGGGCCCTTCTCCCCCCACGGCAGCTGAGCCAGGGCAGCAGCAGAACCTGTTTGAGAGCCACCCTGAACTAGTGACCCTCCTCACTGTCACACTGCCTGGGGGGTGACACACAGCCAAGGCAGAGCAGGCCAATCTTACAGGGATCAGGTTGACCAGTTTTATATTAAGCCACCACATATGTGCAGCACATGAGTGGCTGTTTAAAGAAAGCCTCTTACTTCCCCTCCCTCCCCCTCTTTGAAGGCTTATTTCTTTTGTCGCGTGTCATGGGGGCTGGCAGCAGGTTCAGAAAGTCTGAGCTCTCCCAGCTCAAGGTCATTGGGATTGTTTAAATATAATCTCCTTTTCTGTACTTTCTACTTTCCTACAACTTGCTATTCTGTCTTTCTAAAATTAAACTACAGAGCAGAAGAGGAGCTTGGGCTCTGTGTGTGGGTGCAGTCCCCCCAGCAGGGTCTGTGTGAGAGCTGAGCTGGGGGTGTGGGGACCACCACAGACCAGTCAGCTCTGGGCAGAGGGAGACTGTCCTCCAAAGGGATGGGGCAAAGGAAGAGTGCCCTGACACTTCTGAAGTGCTCAGTAGCTTGGGAATCTTAAAAAAATTGTTTTCTCTGCAAGCAGGAAGGCTTGAATCCTTGATCCAGCTTGAAGGTTGGTTCGTGCCACAGAACAGGCATTGAGAAACCAGATCCCCAGCCATGCTGCCACCAGTCCACCAGCTGGGGCTGCATTCCAGCTACCCCTGGCTGTGGTGGGAAGGCTCTGCTCTCCTGAGGAAGCCTTAGTTTCCTCCACTTTACCAGCTAACTTACTAACAGTTCTGGTCAGTTACTAGTTACATGTGTGCATGAAAGCTTGGGAAGTGAGGGGGTCCTGGGTGATGGAACTGGGGAGCTCCTGCTGGGATCTGGAGTGATGCTCCTGCCTAAGCAAGGGCTACATAGTCTGTGTTGTTTTCTTAGGGGAGAATGGTGAGAGTGAGGAAATGTTTCAAGATAATTCAAAAATGGCATCACTGTAATCCCACTTACTCTAACAGTATGAAATAGGATAAAGGTTTTTGTGAGACACTGGCTTTTTCTTGTACTTAACAGAGGACCATTGGCTTCCTGGCTCCAGGAGCACCTGGGCTGGGGTAAAAAGCTGTCTCCATGTTCCACTAAACCTTGATCCCTGTTTGCCCCTGTCCCCTTTAGAGTGCTGCTGTCCCCCGAGGCCGAGGGGCTGCTCCTGTGGGGCAGAACAAAGCTGCTGCTGTGAGCTGCCAGGGGTGCTGGGGAAAGCACTGACTGTGAGAGAGACTTGGTGCAATCCTGGTGTTACCAGCCCAGCTCAGCTGGGGCTCTGTGTGAGCAAACTGTGCTGCCTTCATGCTGGGGTGCTGGAATCGTGGAAACACATTACAGGTCCAGCTCTGAGCATCTGGATCCCTGAGAGTTTTGTTTTTTGGAGTGTGATAGCAGGGCAGGAGTCCCAGGAGACAGATTTTGCACTGTCTCTGTTCTTTCTGAATTTTCTTCACGTCATTCAGGAACAAGATTTTGGGGGCAGTCTTATGTCCTGCATTCTAGTGGTGCAGATGTGCAGAAAAGTGAATAATACCCTGCATCAGTTGTGATGTCTGTGCTTTTGTTATTCTGCAAAGATTAGTTAGAGAACAAAAAGAAAATCAACCCAAACTTCATTGAACTGTGGTCCTGCTTCATGCTTACTGCTCATTTAAATTCCTGGCCTCCCCTTGACTCAGCTGTGTTTTGTGTTTCATCCAGTTCAGGGCATGTGACAGAAGATACAGGATGTGTTTCTTAGACTTCTGCCCTTTCTTAATTTATTCTTTTTGTTTGCTCCATGCCACAGTTACTAAAATTGGAAACTCTTTGTGTTGCCACCTACAGAGCTCCAAAGGTTGGGGCTGTTGAACACTGTCACAACTGAAAGTCCTGCGTCAGCTCTCAAAGCAAGAGTCTGGGTTAGGAAAGATGCAATTGCTAAAGGACATTCAACACATTCACGTTTGCTTTTGAGTCAGAAGTGGGCTTTATGGACTAGAGGATTCCAAGCTTTTTGTTTCACCAAGCAGTGAGACACACTTTTGAGTTTCCCCTTCAAATAAAGTTCAAAGCCAAAATTTTATATAGTTTGATTCCAGGAGCTGAAACTTTAGGATAAAGGCCAAATATTGTGAAATTTGTGATCTCATTGTGAGAATAGGCAACAGGGAGGTTTGTTTAGGCAGAACTTTACAGGGAAATTCCTGGGTAACTGGGCTAAGTATCCTGGTTTTGTTTATTAACCACAATTGCTGCAGACTTACACTGGAAACATTTGAATGGGGGAGGAGAGAGAGACACAGCTCAGTTCTGTGTCAGGAAATACCAGATCATTTTGTGTTTTCCAGGCTCTTGTATCTTTTGTGTTTGCCTGATCTGAGCCTTATCACTGTGGGGCTTTGGTGTATTAAGATGTAGAAGGAGTTCTGCACAGATATCTCTCCAGGCAGGATATGGGTAAGGCTGGTTCTCTGATGAAGGAAAAACTGCTTGAGGAGGAGGCCATTATCTTTGTCCAAACATTTATTTTTTGTTCAAATAAAGAAGTAATTTTCCTCACTGTTTCTGCCGTTCACTTCAGTACTGAAAAGCCAAACATCCTTATCAGACTCGTTTTCAGGTTTTAGACCTGTTTTATTTCTGACCCTATTTTTAATGAAAAAGTTAAGTTTCATTAGTAGCTTTGCAAAAATTTCCCACAAAGGGAGGAGTATTTTGATCCCCTGTAATCCTCAGTGGAATAGCAGAGGATGAGCAGTCCTGGAGTGCAGAGCACACTCACACCCCAGGCAGGGGACAGAGCAGCTGTGGGCACTGCCAAAAGGAGTGACCCACGAGTCAGCCCAGGCAGTGAGACAGTGCCACTGCTGCAGTACAGGCAGGTGACACTCACTATACACAGAGAGCCACAAAAAGGGTCTCTTGCTTTCCTGCAGAGAATACCAGAGGAGCTGACCCTGGATGCCTTACTAGAAATGAATGAGTCAAAGGTGAAGGAAACGATGAAGAGGTGTGGAGCCAGAGACGAGGAGTGCTCCAGGCTCAACGGGGCGCTGAGCTGCCTGCGGAGGGTGACGGAGTCAGGTACAGACTGCCTTGTCCTCCTGGGCCGGTGGTGCCCAGCCCCCCTGCTGCCCTGCACACACTGCCTGGGCTCTGGGATGTGCACTGATCAAACCTGTCTGGAGCTGTCAGCTGGGTTTGGTTTGGACATCAAGTCAGATAAATAAATGGAAATAAATGTATGTAGAATCCTCTCCTACTCCGTAGATTATATCCTTATTAACCCTTTTGGTTCAGAGTTGTGTCTAATGCTCCAGTCCATTCTCCATGGGTCAGTACACATCCTTGACTTACTTAAACACAAGCAGATTCCTTGTAGGTGGTGCCTTCCCCAAAATACTGCCAGCTCAGAGAGAAACCTTTCCCTAGCACTTCCACAGGCACTGTAAAATCTGTTTGTACAAGAGCCTCTCCCAGCAGGCTGGTACTCACATGCACCACATCTTTCTTTGTAGCAGTTATCAATCTGTCACTGAAAGGTGATGTTTCCTGTTGGTATTATGACAGTTCGTCCATTTGCAAATGGTAAAGATTAGTTAATGGAAAAAATCAGCAAACAGCTCAGTCTCGTGTTTCCTTTTTTCTAATCTTTCTTGTCCCAGGCTGTCAAATATTTCCCATCCACACTGTATAAACCAGCCATTGCTCAGGAGTTATGGCATTCACCTCTTAGAAACAAATGGCATTTTTAAAAGCCCGGGTGTATGTCTCTCAAAAGCTCAAACCTGTGCTGAGTTTTCACAGCCTGAGGCTCAGGGGGGATCACTGCCAGGTGGAACGGGCACCCGAGCCGTGCCCCGGGCTCCGTGCCCGCAGTGCCCTCCCTGCGGGCCGGCACTAACGCTGCTCCGTTGGACAGGAGGGGAGCTGAGGGACGACGTGCCGATGGCCCTGCCCGAGCGCCGGGACAGCTCCTGCTCGCAGCCGGACCCCGCCTGCCCCCCGTGTGCCCCGGCCCGGGCCGGCCAGCCGCGCTCCGCGCCCGCCTCCACGGCCCTGCCCTGCGAGCCGCCCGCGCCGAGCCACGGGCCGTGTCCCCCGGCAGAGAGCCTGCTGGAGCCGCTGGTGCTGCCCGGCAGGCCCAGGACCCCGCACAGCATCACCGTCACCCCCCCGGCCACGCCGCAGCCCAAGCGCCGGCACCGCCTGAAGCCGCCGCGGACGCCGCCGCCCCCCTGCCGCAAGGTGTTCCAGCTGCTGCCCAACTTCCCCACCCTCACCAGGAGCAAGTCCCACGAGTCTCAGCTGGGCAACAGGATCGACGAAGTTCCTCCAATAAAGTGAGTTTGCTCCCCGACTGGAGCTGGGGCTCTCCCCGGCAAAGCTGCCCTATGTGGGCAGGAAAATGCTGGCAGTGCAGCAGCCTCGGGAGCCTGTGCAAAGCCAGAGGTGCTGTAGACCTGACAGCACATGCTGCAGGCAGCAGCTCCTGCTCTAGCAAAGTGTGTACCTGTCACAGGAGTATCAGTGCCTAAAAAAATACATCTTTTCTTCTTTCTAGGTTCGGTAAGAGATTCTCACAGGGGTGTCTGCAGTGCCTTGCTGAGAGAGAAGAACCTGTGCTTGTCAGCTCCCTGTTGGCCATCCCTGGACAGTCTCTGGAGGTTCTCCACGGACCCTCCTACCCCAGAGCTTCTGTTAACTGAGCAGGAGCTTGGCCTGCCACAGAACTGCAGGGTTTTACTTGGTTGCACCTGGTATTTTCTAAGATGACACAAGCAAGGCAAAAGAGTACTGATGTTTCAAGGGTTAAAGCCAGGGGGGTGCTTACCTATGACCTCAGGCAGCTGGCACAGATGCCTCTTGGTACAGGAATTTCACATCTAACCATTTAGTGGCTTTGGATATGCATTGCCCAGTGTCTCTGCAATGAAGTTAAGGCACTGGTGTGCAGCTTTCTGAGGAAGCTGCAGCATGTGCTGGAATGTGGGGTGTTCCCTCTGTGCTGAGGAGTCTGTTCATGTGGGTGATGGCTGGCAGGAGCAGGGCTGGGTTTCTCCAGGGCCATTGGGAGTTCTGGCCATCCTGAGGTGTGTCCCAGACACAACCCGTAACCTTGGAAGCTAATGGAGAGAGATTGGAGCAGCTTGGAAAGTGTCCAAAAGTATCTGAGTATTAAAAGCAAGTCCAAGCACTGCACATATATCTAATGCCCTTTAAAACAAAAATCTCAGGAATTACTTTCAGAAATAGAACTATTGTAAAATGAAAGTGCCAGCAGAAATCTGAGCATTTCCCTGGGGAGAATGAAGTAATTGGTGCAATAAATGAAAAAGGCATTAGACTAAATTCAAACAGAAATGAAGGATTTTGGTGCTCCTCTTCATACAGACCTGTAGGCTGGGGTGAAGTGTCTGCTGTGGGCTCTGGGAGTCCCAGACAATCCCAGACTGGTTGATATTCATTCAGTGAGGTTTTAACCATCTGACCCGATGTTAACAGCCTTCTTTACTGCTGTGCTGGGATTGTTTGGATGGCCACACTAGGCCAGCAGCATTCCTTGGAAAAGCAGCTAGCCATTACAGCCTTTTCCAAGAGGCTGAGGATCACAGATGCCTTTGGGAGCTCCCTGGACTAATGATAAAAAAGACTGTGGTGCCATCTATGGTCAAGTGAGGAGACTGGCTCTGAGCCAGCCCTGCTGCTGTGCTGACACTTGCACATTGGGGTTTGCCTCAGATGTGCAATATTTCTGTAGATTTCGTTGAGGAAATATGCCACAATTCTGAGTTTTGGAGAGTTTTCAGAAAGTTATGTGCCCTAACCACTGGCATGCTGGTTTGGCATTTGGAAGTCTAGATCTCCCTTTCTGCATTTAACAGAAAGTGAAGAGAGCTCACATGTATGTTTGTATTCTGGGTCATGCTGACCCTGTCTAGAAAATTGAGATAATTTTCAGTGAAATAGAATATTCTGAAATCTACTGACACTGCAGGAAAACTGGGTGATGGCATTTGTGGTAAACCAATTGGGAGTAAACCAATTAGGAGTAAAGTCTGACTTTCCACTTTAAGAATGGCTCAGACTGATCAGATGGACTTCTGTAATCCCTACATGTAAAACATCATGATTTATCCAATCATATGGAAACAAATACAAGAGCAACTTCACAGGGGGCAAACCAGTCTGAGCTGTGCTCCTGTGACACCTCATGGCTGGAGGTGCTGACCTGGGGCAGTGACTGCTCATTTTCTGTGCAGGTGGTGGGCACGTGTCAGCAATGCTTCCCTAAACCCTCCTCTTGTTCTTGTTCTCCATCAGAGCTCTCCCAGGGATCCCCCCAGACGGTACGAAGAGACTTTGGCCTGGCTGTGACTCACAGGTGAGCAGCCAGGGACTGGGCATGGCTGTGGCTCACAGGTGAGCAGCCAGGAGCTGGGCATGGCTGTGGCTCACAGGTGAGCAGCCAGGAGCTGGGCATGGCTGTGGCTCACAGGTGAGCAGCCAGGAGCTGGGCATGGCTGTGGCTCACAGGTGAGCAGCCAGGAGCTGGGCATGGCTGTGGCTCACAGGTGAGCAGCCAGGAGCTGGGCATGGCTGTGGCTCACAGGTGAGCAGCCAGGAGCTGGGCATGGCTGTGGCTCACAGGTGAGCAGCCAGGGACAGAGCCCAGCAGCCCAGGCAGGGCCATGTGGCACAGAAATCTGAGATGGGTTTGGAGTTGGGTTGGGTGTCTCAGCTGTCAAGTTCAGTTGCCTACAAATGTTCATTTTCCCTTGGACACCAGCTAACATCAGTTTTCCCTCTCTTGTCTCTGGAAGGTTCTCTACAAAGTCCTGGTTGTCTCAGATTTGCCAAGTGTGCCAGAAAAGCATGATGTTCGGGGTGAAGTGTAAGTACTGCAGGTGAGCACACGGGGATGGTCTCCTTCAGAACAGCCTGGAACTGGACTCACCACAGCCTGCAGTGACTTGTATCTCTTGATGTGGTGCACTTTTGTCAGTGGCATCATTTTTTCAGTCCTTCTGACCTGGCACAACCCACACTTGAAGTTGGCAGCCTGACACATGAATGAACCAAATTTGTTTCCCTGCCACAGGCTTCCTACCTCATCCTGGGCAAATCTTGTAGTGGGAGCTGGATCACTAAATAACAGCCAGAATATTAATTTTTGTTTCTCTCTCAGGCTTGCTAGTCCAGAGGACTGAGGTTTTACTACTTCATGGTTGCTAGCTGAGAGTTAGTGAAAGTAACTTCATAAAAAATAAATCAGATGCTAAGATATGTTTGTGGTTTCATTAGCCTAAGTATTAGAATTCTCCATACGAATGCCTGCTGCTCTGGGGCTGAGCATTCCAGAACTCCTTCTGAGATTAGCATAAGAATTACAAATTAAGGGTAGGCTTCCTCTTTTTGGGAAAGAACAAGTTGCTATTTAACATGTAATGGTTATCTTTCAGATTAAAATGTCACAACAAATGTACTAAAGAGGCACCTGCTTGTAGAATATCCTTCCTTCCCAGTAAGTAATTTTCTACAAATTCTTGTCACTTCAATATAATTGATGGTATGGAAGGAATAAAAAGTCTCATTAAAGATCTTTTTCTCCCTTCTCCAACCTGTTTTGCAGTAACAAAAATAAGAAGAACAGAGTCTGTCCCATCTGATATCAATAACCCAGTAGACAGACCCACAGAACCCCAGTTTGGAACTCTCCCCAAAGCACTAACTAAAAAGGTAGGAGCATGTCCAGAGTCCCTGGGGAGCTGCAGTAGGGAGAGGCTGGATCTCACTGCTTGTTGTGAGAGCTTTCCCTTTGCAGGACTTGGATATGAGACATTTTCTCCCTGTGAAACAGGGGTTGTGCAGACTCCAGGTGCTTATTCAGCAAAGCAATGCTATGATCACCCTGGGAACAAGTTCCCTCTGTCTGTTGTCCAGCAGACACTGAGGGGAGCTCCTCCTTTCTCCTTACTGTTCTCTCACAAGTGTCTTTCCCTGCTTTGCAGGAGCATCCACCAGCAATAAACCACCTGGACTCCAGCAGTAATCCTTCTTCCACAACCTCATCCACTCCATCTTCTCCAGCACCTTTCCAGTCTTCCAACCCCCCCAGTGCGACGCCGCCCCCAAACCCGTCCCCCATGGGCCAGAGGGACGGGCGCTTCAACTTCCCAGGTAAGCTCCTCTGTGCCAGCAGCCTCTGCAACAGGCTGACCAGGAATTCCTGGGGAGTTGTAGGTTTCTGAATACATGCTCGTGCCTTGAACAAGGTGTAAAAGTGTATCTCATTATCTGATAAAATGAAAATGTCTTCCTTACAAATTCTTAAAGGGTATCAGCAAGATATCTTTGCAGGAAACAGATGATTGAGGAACGTTTCTCCTTTTCCTTTTTGAAAAAGGACTGAAGAAAAAAGCTATTTTTTTTTCTCCTCCTTTCCCCTTTGTGCTGTACAATGCATGCTGCCTGCAATGTGTGCTCACCAGGGGCTTTCAGTCAGGAGGGAGGTGCTTGCTGGAGCAGGCTGTGAAAATGAGAACTGGAATGAATTACTTTACCAGAGCCTTCCAAAATATAACCCACAATCAACACCAACTTTTAAACCACTGTCAAGCATGACTGGTGGAGAGAAGTTTACCCTTCATGCCCTATGGACTGAGAGCCCCAGTGTGCAGCTTCAACCAGGGCTGAGAGGGGCAAGTATCTCTGACAAGGGCAAAGATCTAAAGAGTGAGAATAATGTAATTCCTTTGACCTGAAGTCACATGTTGTGCAGTAGCTGCTACATCTGGCCTTCAACACTGCTGAATTTTGCATCACCTTCTGACCTGTGAGTTCAAGTTGCTGTTTGAGCCTGCTAAAAAGGACCACAGGCAGTTCAGTGTAAGGATTCCACTGCAGCTACTTTTGCATTGGGACAAACTGCTCAGATTCACTGAAAAAATATAAAAGGCAGACAGTTCATGAGCTTCAGCTTCTGTGGGGGCACCTCTGCAAAGCTGAGACATGAGAGCACATCACATCACACCTGATGTGGGCCTGCCTTGTCTCCCTTTGCTCCTACCCCTGGGGATCCAAGGCTGTTTGAGAGAGGAGGCACAGCTTGTGTGTGATACCTTTCATCTGTCAGGGCCCTCCCAAAATGCATGTGCTGAAATTCCCCCCAGCAGGCTGATAATCCACTAATCTGTTCCCAGCAGTGACCTGGGACTAATTCATTGAATGCACATGAGGCACTCACTGATGATCCTCTAACTTGTTTGTGTTGTTTTGTTTTTTTCTCCTGGTATTTTTTTGCTGTTCCTTTTTTACAAAACCCCAATTAATTAAAAAGCTGCCTACTACCTTCAGCATAGACAACAATTTATCTTCCCAGGTGAGTTGATTGTTTTAATTCTGCTAATCAACTTCTTCTGCCAAAACATAGCTTGTTTGTAAACCTGTGCATGCTGCCCAAGAACAATCATTCTGCTTTAAAAAACCTGTCTAAAACAATCCAGACTTTCTCTTATCTCAGTGTGTACTCAGGCCTCTCTCCCCTAATCTGAGGTAGTGATGTGATTTATGTGTTGAGATGGAACTTTGAATATTTAGCTGTAGAACATTTGTTTCCTGATGTGGGATTCTCTTCACATCCATGTTCCTCCTTTCTAAAGATTCACTTTTATGGCTCTGTGCCTGGCCAAAAGGACTTTACAGATAGGTGGGGGAAATGGAAGAGGACTGGGCTCAGCCAACATGCAGGCACAGGAGAGATGAGCATAGTTTTAAATCAGTAAAAGTATAAAATCACTTTGTATGTGGTTGAGTTTGTAATTCCTAAATAAGAAGCAAATAGTTGCTATTGCAATATTAAAACTTGCAGTCTATAGGAGATTGAAGTGTAGAAGATGTATCATAACTGTTTCTACTTTCCCAGAAATTCCCAGTCCTGCACAAACAGCACAACTTCCAGAAACTGCTGCAGACACTAAGTAAGTAGAGTTAAATCCTTTCATTTGCACAGCATTTACCTGGTAATCCTCAGGTTAGCCCAGAAGTGCTGTGTTATGGCCAAAACCAGATTTAACACCTGAGAATTCTCAGGGTAACTTTAGTCAGTGAGGGTGATGCTGGTATTGCCAGTTTTATAAAGCTGAATATGACACTTAACTTTAAATGGCACACTAAGGAGTCCAAGCCTTTAATATGTAGTCCTGGTTGTGTGAAGGGTCAGATGAAACAGCAGTTGGAGTTCTGTACCTTGAAGGGCATGGCACACTGGGCTGAAAGCAAACAGCTCGTTCAGGATCTCAGCTGCAGGGCATGGAAAAGCTTCCAGCCTGCATTGCCAGCTGCTCCACTGCAGGTGTTTCAGGGGTAGGAATGGGAGCATCTATTCCTGGAACACAGTGTATTAACAGAGCTATGCCACTGCCAAATCAATTCCTGCCACTTAATTATCAAGAATCACTTGCAAGTCTTTGTCCCTCATTTGCCAAAGTGAGCTTAGAGTCCTTCTCTTTTACACGGAGCAGGAACTGTATTTTTCTCTGCTTCTGTAACTGTCAGGATCTGTTGTGTATTGGCTTCTTCTGCTCTCTGATGGCAGCAGGGGCCCCGTTCCCCAGTGATGCCAAAGGTTGTTTTCACTGCTTCTGTTGCAGCGCTGCCCAGCAGCCGGGCACGGGCAGAGGCGCGCGGGAAGCACAGGTGGGTCTGCTGCTTTGCCCCGGAGGTCTCTGGAGCAGCCTGTGCTGCTGGGCTGCTCTGCCAGCCCTGAGGGACTGCGAGCACACCTTTCCCTTCCCTTGCTGTGGGCAGGTGGAGGAGCCAGAGGCGAGTAAGTCGGAGCCCGAGGACGACGAGGACGAGGTGGAGGATTTGCCCAACCGGCGGCCGCACCTGCAGGGGATGATCTACCGCAAACCCAGCCAGACCAGCGTGTACCTGCAGGAGTGGGACATCCCCTTCGAGCAGATCCAGCTGGGGGACCCCATCGGCCAGGGCCGCTGGGGCAAGGTCTACAAGGGCAAGTGGCACGGGGAGGTGGCCATCAGGCTGCTGGAGATCGACGGCAACAACCAGGATCATCTCAAGCTCTTCAAGAAGGAGGTGATGAACTACAGGCAGACCCGGCATGAGAACGTGGTGCTGTTCATGGGAGCCTGCATGAACCCCCCTCACTTAGCAATCATTACCAGGTGAGGAGAGAGGTCTTTCTATTAGTTCTACTAGATAGGTATTGTAGAGCTAGCTAATACTGTTCTTATACATAAACATTTCCTGTAGCTTCTGCAAAGGAAGGACGCTGCACTCCTTTGTGAGGGACCCCAAGATCTCCCTGGACATCAACAAAACCAGGCAGATAGCACAGGAGATCATTAAGGTAAGGGCTTGTTCTGCCAAGGGAGCCACTGGGTAGGGCCTCAGCCAGAGCTCAGAGCTGCACGTGGGACTGGGAGCTGCTCCCTCAACCTCTCCCAACACCTTCCTGCACAAGTGCCCCAGGGGCCCTGCCCCCAGTCACAGCTAACCCTTGACACTGGAGTTAGGAAGGGGAAATGTGTCAGAAAGCAGAGTATGCTTGGAAATAATAAAACCCCAAAAACATTTCCATCTCTGCTGTGTTTCACAGGGCATGGGGTATCTCCACGCAAAGGGGATTGTACATAAGGATCTGAAATCCAAAAATGTCTTCTATGACAATGGGAAAGTTGTGATCACCGACTTTGGATTGTTTGGAATTTCGGGTGTGGTTCAGGAAGGAAGGTAAGTGGAGGTTTCAGTGCTTGGTTCCAGCTCTGGAATGACAAATGGTCAAACAGGGAAACATTTCCTGCAGTGCACGAGAAGCATCCATTGGATTAGTACACACTCACTTTGCCTTCTGCATGTTCACTTTGTTTTCCTTTTGAGCAAAGTTCTTCCTACAGCTGCAGTAGCACAGCTAGAGAGTTTGGATTAAGACTCAGAGCACAGAACAAACCAGACCTTAAGCCCAGGAAGGAGCTGTGAGTGTCAGGCTAACATGTGCTTATTTGCTAACATGGCAAGAAAATTAGAAACAAAACATCACCAAAAACATTGGAGTAAAAAAGCCAAAGCATCAGGTGCAGCACAGATATGGCCTCCACACCGATGTTTTAGTCCTGCTTCTTTCTTTTGGACTCAGGAGGGAGAATGAACTGAAGCTGCCTCATGACTGGTTGTGCTACCTGGCCCCTGAGATTGTCCGGGAGATGGCCCCAGGGAAAGATGAAGACAAGCTGCCTTTCTCCAAAGCTGCAGATATCTATGCCTTTGGGTAAGAAAGGAACACCCAGGAGTACCAGGAGAGCTCGCTGAGGGAGACTGGCTACTGGCCTAAGCCTTCCAGTCTGTGCTCCCCTTCTCTCAGACTCAGGATTCCAGCCTGGGACACATTTTCCTCACCTGTTCCAAAAGTCACGGGTGGAAGGGGTTTGCTGCACGGCCTTAGGCACCTCCCAGAGCTCAGCTGAAGCAGCTGGAACAGTGCCAGCACTGGGTACTCTGTGTGCCAGGAGCAGCAGAGGCCTGACACTCTGTGGCATTGCAGGACCGTGTGGTACGAGCTGCAGGCGCGGGAGTGGCCGTTCAGGACCCAGCCTGCAGAGGCTCTCATCTGGCAGATCGGCAGCGGAGAGGGAGTGAGACAAGTCCTTGCCACTGTCAGCCTGGGCAAAGAGGTCAATGTAAGTACCTCACTGCAGGAGTCCCTCCTACAGCTGTTGGTCAGGGAGAGGGGGGCTGCTTCAAGAGAGTTGTTATAACTCAAAAGAGAAGGGGCAGGAAAGAACAGATGGGAATGGGAGACCAGGTTTAGCCTGTGCCTGTAACTGTGGAGCACAGTGAACATCCCCAGCACGGGACACTCCTGGGTTCTGGCAGTGTCCAGGCCCTCTGTGAGCAGTGTCTGCCTGGGCTCACACACAGCCCAGTGCTCAGACAGTTTTCTGGTCTGCACAGTTGACCCATGAGCTGAGATAATGAGCCACCACTGTCCTCTGCAGGAAATCCTCTCGGCCTGCTGGGCCTTCGACCTCAGTGAGAGGCCCAGCTTCACTGTCCTCATGGAAATGCTTGAAAAACTGCCAAAACTGAACCGCCGGCTCTCCCACCCAGGGCACTTCTGGAAGTCTGCTGAGTGAGTACCTGCTGCTGGTCACTGCACTGATGCCATGCAATTTGCTGACTGGTCATTTCTGAGCTTTATTTGCTTTCCTGGGGCTGTCAGACCTGACAGGGTGGGAGCACTGCTGCTCTGCTTCTCTAGTTCCTGGGAAATGATGTGACTAAGCCATGAGCCTCAGACAGTTTCCTACTTCACCATATTCACCTCTCTCCAGCAGCTGACTGATCCCCCTGTTTGTGTCAGAGAATATCCACGACAGCATTGGGAAGGGCCCACGCTGACCCCAGAGTGGTCAGAACTTGCCCTGTGCTGGTAATGGCAGTACAGGCTGAGGAAGGGAAGGGCCCAGGAGCAGGCCACCATTTCCCTCTGAAGTGTTCAGACTGCATGGCTTTGAGGCCACAGGCACATCTGTGCCCAGTGCCCATTCACCACGTCCTTGCCTCAGGGTTTCTTTTCATCTCCTCAGCTGCTCGTATTTACTTTCTCTTTTTTCTGATGTTAACCCCCCTTCCCTTCCTATAATCCTTCACCCTCTTCCTGCAACACCTGATCAGAACCACCCAAACTCTTGACACAGGAACTGTCATGGCAGTTTGGTCTCTGCTGGTCGTGGGGGCTTTGGAGTTTTGGTTGAAAATTCTGCCACTTCTCCTGTGTGGTTTCCCTCCCATTTGTACTGGATCCCTGACACACAGGTGATGTCCAACAACTTTAAACTGCAGAAGGCTTCCCCCAGACTCTGGCCTCCCCCTCGCACAAAGAACATGCCCCACCTCACCCAGATCCTTTCACACACTGCACTAACCCCTGCTGCAGCCTGCTCGAAGCTGTACAGTGTGTAGTTCTCAAGGGCTTGCTTTAAATAACTGAAGACTAACTCTCATGGTGTCTTTTTCCCTTCCCTCCCGTATTTCTTTGTAGGTTGTAGCTACTGGTGCAATAACGGGCTCCACCTTGCATGCTTCCATGTGTCGTATCCTAACCGGCAACTTGGACAATCACCTTCCATTAAAAAAGCAAAAACAAACCACGAAATTAACCCCTGGACATAATCAACACTTTACCCGAGTTCTGCTCTCTGCCTTTCGCTTGGTGTGGGCTGTAGCTTCAATAACCACTCCTGTCTGCGGGACCCCGTGGCTGCAGCGGCGGCTGACGCTCCTCGGGAAGGGCCAGGCCCGCTCTCGCTGACCAGGTGCACACCACGGCAGGGCTGTCCCCAAACTGCTGCGTGTCCTGCCAGGCCCCCCGGCCCCTCTGTGTCCTTAGGGCTGCAGCTCTGTCACTGCAGGTGACAGGGACGTTGCCACAGCACCTGCACTGCAAACCAGCAGGAGCTGAGGCCAGGCTGGTTCTCCCTCGGGCACAGAGCCGGCCCTGGGGCCAGGGTCAGTCCTGGAGTGGAAGGAAGGATGGTCCTTGCTCTGCTTGGAGCAGCTGAGGGGCCCTTGCCCACTGAGAACCAGGCAGGGGCAGTGTCCGGGGCAGGTCCGCGTGGGTCAGCTGGGGTCAGCTGCAAGGCTGTGTAAGAGAGGAGGAAAGCAAGAGCACCCTTCAGCTCCTCCCCTTGCAGATCCAGGCCCTGGAATGTTATGGTTTGCTTCTGTTTACATCCCTGGGCCTTGGCAGAGTCACAGCTACCACAGCAAACATGTGCCTTCCACAAAAGGTCTGGAGGGGAGAGGACAGGCACAGAGGAGAGCACCCACCAAGGGCCCTCTGCTGTCTGAGGACAAGCTCCCACATCATTCCCTGAGCCTGCTCAGGAAAGCTCTGAGCTGAAAGTGCTTCTGGCTCTGCCAGCAGTGTGAGAGCAAGGGAGAGACCCCTTTATGTGTGTAGAGGCTGAGAGGAGCAAATGGGTTTGGGTTTGTCCTGTTTGGGGTTCTTAGCCTGTTCATGTACCTTGTCAAAACTCCTCTTTCTCCTACAAAGAACATTCTGTCAGTTTTTCCTTCCCTTCTACTTCAAGAGAAGCAAGTGCCCACTGAAAACCAGTGTCAGGCTTCTACCCACGGTAGAGACCTGGGAAAACCTCCTGCTCCTCCCCCATAGCAAATCAGATTGTGCAGTTTCTTCCCACTGATAATGTTTGCATGAACAACTTCATGTGTTTGCTGCTGAATTACTCGAGCATCTCTTGGGTGATCTGAAGTGATGTGAGAGCAGAACCAAACTCATTTCAGCTCCTGTGATAGGGCAGTAGCTTTGTAAGAGGAATCATCAGTAACTGTTTCCCCCTCCCTTCTCCTCTCCTCCCCACTCTCTGCAGCATTAACAGTAGCAAAGTTGTCCTGCGTTTTGAAAGATTTGGCTTGGGAATCCTGGAGCCGAGTAACCCAAAGCTGTAGCCCGGTGTCATTGTGGCCATGCTGGCTGCCTGCTCCCACACAGCGCCAGAAACCCTCCCTGGCTGCTCCACTGAAGACCATCAGCTCAGCCCCGTGCCTGCCTGAGCACCAGCAGTTATTTAACAATGTTTACATGATACTTTTGTGTGAACTATATTTTTTTAAACATAATAAACAGTGAATCAAGTTGAACTACAGCCATTCTCAAACAGCACTGAAAAAGAGCTGAGCTGTTCTGGTTCCTCCTCGTGTCCGTGGTCAGGAGGAGCCACGCTGCCCTGAGGGCAGTGGAGCAGGAGTGGCTCCTCCTGAGGTCAGCTCTCCTGAAGGCAGAGCCAGCCTGCTGCCCTGGGACTTGCCCAAAGCACCCATTGTTCCAGCAGGGCTGCCCCAGCTCTGGGTCTCCCTGAATTCAGCTTCACCAGGACAGAGCTGCTGCAGGTGGAGTGTCTGGCCACGGGGGCTGGCTCTGTTGGTGACTCAGTGCTCTTCTCCACAGAACTCACACTGAAACCTGCTCCTTCTCATACAATCCCACAGGAATTAAGAATTGCTGGCCTTAAAAAATAAACTCATGACTTGCCACAGCTCTGCACAGCAACCAAATTCTTCTTTTGAAGTTCAGACCCAAGTTTGAATGCAGGGAAAGGCAAGAGAAACAGGACAAGTGAAAAGCTGTCCCTAAATAATGCATTAATTAAGGCCTTGATGCACAGAGCTTCAGAGCCCCTGCACACACACACACAGTGTTGCCGCTGCCTACAGCTGGCCACGATTGAACCTGCAAGTTCCTTGTTTGAGAAACATAGGACCAAAGCAGATGCTTTGAGGAAAAAAAACCCTTTAATAATAACAAATCTTGTAACCAAGAAGGCAATATCTGGGTCAGGTTCTGCCTGACCCCAACACCTCAAACTTGTTTCAGAGGTTACTTTTAAAACCAAAACCAATCCCCTTGGAAACCACCTGCAGGCCCCATTAGCAGAGGCTCCCCTTTCCCACATCATCCCGAGGCTCAGGGGGAGCTCCCACATCTCTGAGCAGGCAAAGCAGCAGCCCTCAGTTTGGCTGCCTTGTGTGAGGAGTTAAGGGGCACAAAACCTGAGTTCTGTTGAGCAGAGAGCCTCAGTCCTGTGTGCCAGTCCATCGTAGCTCTTACAAGTGTTGACAAAGACTTTTTAAATGTGTCTCAGATCAAAAAGAGAAATGTGTTTGGCATGGCCAGGCACTGCAGTGCTGTCCTGATCCCTTCCCCCTGGGGCTCTGCTCTTCTCACTACCATGTGTCAGCAGCCTAAAGCAGAAATTTTCCCAAAAGTGCTGCTTAATTAAGAGCAGCACAACACAAACCCAAAGCAGGGAAGAAAGGTGCTGCCCCTCGGCTGGAGCCCTGCGGGGGCTTCCTGCCTTAGGGAGGGAGGGCAGGGGCTGCTGCTGGGTGCAGACCGGCCCTCAGCTCAGTGGGTGTCGAGGGCAGCAGCAGCCTCGGGGTGCTCCTCACTCTGCTTTTGGGTGCACAAAGCAGGCCCCGAGAGCTGGGACAGCCCAGCGTTCAGTGTGGGATCGCAGCCAGGGCTGTGAGCCTCGGTCCCTCCCTCGGCCAGGCCTGTGGCCCTTTGTGTCCTGCCGTGCCCCGGCTCAGGCGTGGGACACTGTGCCCCAGTCCTGGCACAGCGTTTGCTCATAGCTGCCCTTAACGGGGGCATTGGGGTTGGAACCCAGCCTGACCTGGGTGCCGAGTGGGACACCCGTGAGCTGCCCTGGGACACAAAGCTCCCGCTGTGCCCCCGAGCAGCCCGACACCGACCGTGGGGTGTTTGTGTGGGTGTGTGTCTGTGGGGTGTTTGTGTGGGTGTGTGTCTGGGGGTGGTTTTTGTGTGGGTGTGTGTCTGGGGGTGGTTTTTGTTTGGTCAGCCCGGCTCTGGGCACAGAGCTGGGGCTGTCCCAGCCCACACACCAAGCCAAGACCCTGGGTTGTGTTCGTGTCACGCGTCCTGCCCCGGTGGAGCTGCCAATGTGACAATGCTGTCAATGCTGCTACAGGAGCCACATGTCAGTAGTGAATGTAAATGGTCGTAACATGGTGAACATGGACACGTTTTCTTTTCAAATGTGATGTAAACTTTGTACAGTACAAATTTTTTTTTATATTTTCTATGAACTGAGTGTCTTCCAGAATTACTATTAAATTAATTACAAATTGTTAGAATTAACAACAGTTTCTGTATTAGTTTATGCAACCAGAAAAAAAAAAAGAGAAAAAAAGAGTGCATTCTATGCTACTGGAATTCTGGATATGTAGGAATCTTTTCAGTGAATAAATCTTTGGTCTGGATAAAGCATTACTGAGTCCTGGTTTGACCTTTCCCTCCCACTGACTTGTAGCTGAACCAGAAGAGGAGCAGACTCCCACGGAGCCCCCGAGCACAGCAGCTCCTCCACCCCCTCTGCTCCCTGCCCATTCCCTGAGGGACACCAGGTGATCCCCCCTGCACAAGTCCCTTGCAATTACCCAAGTTTTCCCTCCCGGATATGATGAGTCACATTATTAAATGGGTAATAAAACCAGCACAGAGTTTTCTCGAAGCACTGCAGTGTTGAAGAAGCTGCTTCCCTCCCAAAAGGACCTGAGGCCGTTCTGGGACCCCCAGCACCTTCTCTGTCCTTTGCACAAGGTCCTGTCACCACCTGCCACCTGCAGAGAGGGGCAGAGCTCTGCCAGACAGACCCGGCTCTGCACTGGAACTGCAATTACCGGGTGTTAATTAATCCCAGGAAGGTTCTGCTGCTGCCAGCAGCTTTGTGCTGGGAATAACGGCAGCTTTGTGCCATCCTGCCAGGAATGGGCCAGGGCATCATAAAGGCACAGCTTTACATCCATCCATCTTATCTACATCTCACGTGCAAACAATAAAAAGCTTAAGATAAGTTGAGCTTTGTTGTCTTTTATAAAGAAATAATAAAGTTAATTCTCAATCATACTTGAAGGGCAGAGGTGTTTCATTTAACAAACCAAACCACACAAACTCCAGTCCCCAAGCACAAAGGCTCTGCCCTGGCTGTGACTGGAGCAGTTTGATGCTTCCCTGCACAGAGCTGAACCCCACAGCTGTCCCAGGAGGCCCCAGCATCGGGGTCCCTGTGCCCCGGGAGAGCCACAGCAGAGGGAGCAGGAGCAGCCCAGCACAGAGGGAGCATTCCCAGCGCTCAAAGGCACTCAAAGCCCCCACAGGAACATTTCACACTCGCCTGGCAGTAACAAAAATGCAAAACTGCTGATGGGCAGACTGAAATCCTGGAGATGCCTCAGCTCAGGGAGGAGCCCAAGCCACCTCACCACAGCCTCAGAGCTGTTTGTTACTCTGCCTTGCAGGCTGGAGCCAAGAGCAAGAAGAGCTTCACTGACCCACACGCTTTGCCTCCGTATAAAGACAGCTTTTATTACAAACAAATCAAGTAAACCAGAGCACAGAATTCAGATGTACAAAGTGCTTTGGAATTTTTGGAACCTTCCTGCTATAGGCTCTGTAACAACAACAGCAACAGCAGCTGATGCCCGTGTAGCTGGGTCCCCCAGAGCAGAGCTGCCCTCTGCTCCCTGCTGAGCAGACCCACGTGGATGCAGCAGCTGTTGCCACCCGGGGACCAGCACATGATTATTTCATTTGCAAACATTGCTCCAGATCCAGGCATGCGGCCACACAACTCCCAGCAACACAACCCTGCATTCACTCGCTTTCAAGTGAAGATAATATGCAAGTAAACCAATCTGATATAAATAAAGTCACAAAGATAAACAATACATTTAAAAAAAAGATTTCAGCTCTAGCTAACTTAGTACAAAACTGTAGATTTTCCTTGTATGTATAAAAACCACCAGATTATACTAGCATAGATGGTATTAAAAAAATAATTTGCACTTTCAGTATTAAGATAATGTATTAAAATGTCAGAATAAATAGCAACAAAATTTAAATTTAATATTTTACTTAATTAAGGCTGAAGTTTAAGAGCCAAATCCTACAACCCTATACACATGCATGATTGAGCAAGTATAAGAAGAAGGATTTGACTCTGTTTCTTGAAAATAACAAATGTGCAAGCATTGTCTAAAACACAAGTGGATTTCTTCTTCAGCTGGTGGGTTGCAAAGCTCTTTTGACATCATGTGGGAACACAGCCCCAAATATATCTTCATGGTATCGCTTTTGGCTCTGCAAAAAGAAGGACACGCAGGAGATGAATGAAATGCTGCCAGCTACTCCTTATCCATCAGCTCAGTGACTAAAAGGCCTTTTGCATTTGCAGCACTGGTTGTGTGGTTGCAGACTTTTGCTGCTGCCAGTGAAAGGGAGCTCCCTGAATCCGGGGCACAAACGCACCAGGACGAGTTCTGGTAACAGGAGGGTCTGAAAAAGCAGCAGCCCCAGGCACTGGGTTTAGTGAGGGGCCCACGAAATTCCTGAACTCACTTTTCCTCTGTTGGTACAACAAAGCCTCAAGCTCCTGGTGTTGCCAACACCCTGCAAACTGATCCCCAGGACCCCGGTGTGAGAGCAGGGTCCCTGTCCCCCCCGGCCAGCCCGGGGCTCAGGAGCGCAGCCCGGCCTGGCTGTGCCCACCCGGGGGGCACGCTGTGCCTGTCACGGGGTACCTTGAGCTGCTGGAGCTGCTCGTGGGCCTGCCGCGGGCCGAGGCGCAGGGCCCGCGCCAGCAGCGCGCGCAGCGCGGCGCCCACGTCCCGCGCCATGCGCGCGTCCCCGCACACGTAGACGTGGCCCTGCTGCCCCTGCAGCACCTCGCACACGCGGGCCGCCAGCTGCCCCCGCAGCACGTCCTGCACGTAGACCTGGCAAACACAGAGACATCAGCACGCCCGGCTTCTGGAACGCTGCTTGGCTGCTGGCTCCTCCGAGCCCAGCGCGAGCCTGTCTCAGCCCGGCTCTGAGGGCCCAGCGCTGTCCTGCAGCAAAGGTGAAAACGTCTTCAGGCTGCCCTTTACAAGCCCACATTTGGAAGCTGGGCCTGTCTCTTGATCAAACTTGAGCAGACAAAGACTCTTCTACATGCCAAAGTCTCCTAACTGCCAGGAGAGCTAAAAAGAGGATAACTTTTATTCAGTTGTGGTTTTTCCCAGTCAAGATTCTGCTACATAAAATTAATTTCCATGGTCACCGTGTCATTGAAATGGGGGAAAATGGCCAGTGCCAACTCATTTCTAACTCATGGGCTAATCAAGTCCTGCAAAATACAAGGTTTCTGAAAATGTTGCAGTTCTAGTTCCAAAGGCTGTTTGCACTGGACGTGCCTCTCTGTGGCAGTGAGGGGTTATATTTATAGCAATTTATAGCACAGCTTGCTTGTGCTGGAGTGTACAGGATTTTCCTTCATTTGAAGAAGCTCAAACCTGCTCACAATACACTGAAGCAAAATTCTAACATTTTTTTAAGAACAAACAAACAGAGTCCAGATCTTAACTTGAGGGATGATTCTGGAGGAGTTAACCCTTAAAAAACAAAGGAACCAGCCTTACTTTCTCTTGGCCAGGCAGTCTGGAGTAAGCTGTGTAGACATCTCTGAGGACTCCCCTCCTCTTCATCTCCTCAGTCTCCTCCCTGTAGATGTGATCCAGGTCTGGCCGCCGGCAGCCGAACAGCAAGGTCATGTCCCCTCCTCTGAGCCCTGAAACCGCGTGGGACAGTGACAGCCTGAGTGCCTGGGGCAGCCCTGGCACACAGCACTGGCACACAGGACTGACACAGCACTGGCACAGCACTGGTACACAGCACTGGCACACAGCCCTGGCACACAGCACTGGCACAGCACTGGCACAGCACTGGCACACAGCACTGGCACAGCCCCTGGCACACAGCACTGGCACAGCACTGGCACAGCACTGGCACACAGGACTGACACAGCACTGGCACACAGGCTGGCACACAGCACTGGCACACAGGCTGTGCTCTCCAAGTCCCCAAAGGACCCCTGCCCACGGGAATGGTCCCTGGGGGATGGACTGGCTGTGCCAGCGCAGTGCCCGAGGAGCCTGGGGGTCCAACCTCTGCAGAGCCCTGGCTGATGTTTGTTGTGTGGCTGTCTGTGGCTGCAGAGCCCTGGCTGATGTTTGTGGCTCTCTGTGGCTGCAGCCCCGGGCTGTCCCTGTGCCGGCCCTGCCCAGGTCCTGGCTGATGTTTGTTTTATGGCTGTCTGTGGCTGCAGAGCCCCCGCTGCAGCCCCGGGCTGTCCCTGGGCCGGCCCTGCCCAGGGCCCTGCAGTACCTCTGTGCTCCAGGTCGTAGAGGCGCTGCAGCCAGAAGCTCCTGAAGGGAGCGATGCCCGTGCCCGAGCCGATCAGAATGCAGGGCTTGGCCGGCTCCTCCGGGAGGTGGAACTCACCAGCACTAAAAGGCAAGAATGTGTTAATTAAGTACCTGGTTTCTGACTGAAACTCGTGCTCAGTTGCTTGAATGACTGAGCGGCACAGCCCAAGTCCCCAGTGTGAAAGCAGCAGTGGGGCTGAACTGGGTGCTCCTTGTTCCCTCCCCTTTCCTTGCTCTGCAGTGGAGAATGGGGTCACAGCAATAGAATTATTTCAGAATTTTCTAATGATTTGTAATTTTACTAAATGTAAGGCATAGTAACAGGTCTAATCTCTGGAAGACAGGGGATTCCCTCTCAGACCCAACTGTTCCAACTTCAACTCAGCAATCCCTTGAAAATATGCACAGGAAAACCCAGTGCAGAAGCTGAACCATGAGCTGCTGTTACTGGGTTCATTTCCTTACCTGCGGATGAAGCAGGGAACGGTTTCACCGAGCGCGACCGTGTCCAGCCACGTGCTGCAGACGCCGTGGTGCACAGGCCCTTCTCCATCTAAACAGAGCAAGGCAGAGCACTGATAGCCCCCAAAAGCCCTCTGGCTGTAAAAAAGCACACTTTAGACTTAAAACCACAGCTTTAAAATACATGTATGTCTAGTAATGATTTATAAAACGTGGAGACACTGATGATGGTGCATGATTTTAGCAAATCTTGGCCCAGGAGGAACACCTGCCCTGCAGGTACCATTCTGCAGGTATGACAACACAAATTTTTTATTACAGATATGCTTCATGCTGTGTGGCAGACAGGTTTTTTTTCCTGAACCACAATGTAGTCTAAACACCATTTAATTAAGAGAGAGATGAAAACAACAGTTCATTACCTCTTGTCCTGTAGTTTACAACTGCAACTGTCAGATGAATCTCTCTGGGTGTCATGTCACAGGAGGAGCTGACAGAATAGTACCTGGGCTTCAGGAGGGGCAGCTGAGTCAGCAGGAAAGCTGTGGAGACCTCAGCAGAGGGGAACTCCTCCAGCACCTCCAGGATATTTGGGCTGTTGTAAAACTTCCATTTGTTGTATTCTTCTGTGCTCTAAAAGCCAAAGGACATCACCACAACATTAGCAGATCATGCTGAGTTCAGGAGAGCAGGTGTATTTGAAATGTCACTTATAATAAGATTCCTGCTTTACATTCAATTAAATATGCAGGTAAATCAACAAAGAGTTCTCAAAACTTTGCCAGGACCAATACTGGGGTTTCCTAAGAAATAATTTAATTTTGAACACAGAAGTTCAGAACCCCACTACAATGTCCTCAGACACCTGCTCTCTCGGTGAGGATGCAGAAACTGAAGCAGAATTCATTTCTCAGCTCCCTGTCATGGCACACCCATGAAATTTTGTAGTCCCAGGTCCTGACCCCTTCCAAGCCTCCCTGAACCTGGTAAGAGGAGCCAGCACTCACCACACCTTTGAGCCATTACTTACAGCCACATCCCTCTGACTCTCAGGGCAGCAAATTCTCTGACAAAAACATCTGCCAGCTCCCCTGCAGCTCCTCCAGGTGCAGAGTGTTAAAGGATGTCTCATCAGAAACCACGGCGAGGCAGGAGAAGCAGGCAGGCAAATGACCCACCCAGAACCACACAGGAAACAGCAGATGCTGGCTCCCACACCCAAGCTGAGCCTCAGACCCTCCTGCTCTCACCGTGGCTGGCTTTCTAAGAGCACAGAATATGTAACACAGGCATAAAATCCATCACTACTAAAATTCTTAAGCTTCTGCTACAAAGGGTATCAGAGGGCCCAGTGGACAGCAGTGCAAACAAAGCTCCAGCCCTAAGGCTCACCTGACACAGCACCTCCAGCCTCTGCTTGTCTCCTTCTGCTGTCACCAGCTGGGAGAGCTTTTTTAGCAGCTGTTGGGAGGGTGGAGTAGTGATATCAAGCAGGTATGTCAAAGCCTCAGGTAGTGTGCAGGCTGGAATCTTTTTGTGACTTGCCCAGTACCCACCTGGAAATGAGGGAAAGAAAAGGACACTTAGCAACACCTATGGTATTTGACAGCTGTAGAGCTTTGCAAAACACAGTGTCCTTCAAAATACCCCTTCAGGTGAGGGTGCAGCAGGTCTAGACCACAGGGCCCTTCTGAAAGATGTTATTGTGAGGTTTTGAACATTTTTTAAGGGGAGGATCTGATACAGAAAACTTCACAACAACAAAACACTACTTGGAAAGGCAGTCTTTCATTTGGGGAAACCATCTTTCTGGGTTCAGAATCCTATGATTGTTCCTACTAATAAGGGAAAGATGGGCAGGACATATATGTCTATTTTAGGACTTTTACACGTAGCAATAAGCAAACTGCTGATTAATTTAATTGCAGTCGATGGCCAATTCAGCAACTGAATTGCAGTGTCACCTCAAGGTACCTCTGCAAACCCTGGTGAAGTCATGGTTTTTCCAGAAAGGGCAAAATCAGAACCAAGAATTATAAGAATAACTAAAAAGCAGCAACAAAATCCTATTGAAACTGGAGAAAAGGACCATAGAATCAAATTCAGTCAGCAAAAATTCTTAGGAATTTTAAAGGAATCTGTCCCACACCCTCTGCTGTTTTGTCTAAAGAGACCCAGCTTACCATCAATGCAGGTTTCCAGCCTGACAGTCTGGTCAGCTGGAGGGGCATCCTTGACACGTGCAATGATGCCATGGACCAGCTCTGCCTGGTTGCCCGGGAAAACCCCGAGGTGCTCCCCAGGAAGGTAGTGCACTTCCTGATCAGCCTCACAGTGCAGTTTAACCAGAATGGTGACACGACTGCATGGCAAAGAAAGAGAAATGAGACACATCTTGGTTACATTGGCAGGATTTCCATTGGATTGCACAGGAAAGGAATAAATCTGCAGTGGCACTTGGCAAGGGCTCCCCTGTGTGCATTACCAAATACCAGACCAGCTTAGGGCTTCACAGAGACCTAAACAAATCAGAGTCCAGGCATGTGAAGTACTTGTATCCAAACAAACTGGGTGCTGAAGTTCTCCCTGGTCTGTCCAGTACAGAATAAACATGCCTGGAATCAGCCACTGGAAGTGCTGCCCCACTGCAGACTGCACAGCTCACATGCTTCTGCTAAGGACAGCACAAAAATCCAGTATCTTTTGTAATAACTGCAGGGAGAAGATGTTTATAACCAGGCACTTCAGATGTTTAAGCTTTTAGTAAAATGTAGTATTGCAATATTCAAAAGAATGAGGTAGCATACCTGGACTTCGAACTTTGAAGATTCTGCCTGAATTTCAGCTTCATGGGAATTACATCCTTGGCATGAATGTTTGCAAGAGCTGGTGAGAAAAGAAGTTATGACTAATTAATTTATTAATTATTAATTAATAACTGAGGTTATTGATGGTAACATTGTGATTAGGTTTGTTTAAAATGTCTTCAGATAAGATGCAGAGGAGAACTGAACCACGCTGGCCCCAGAAGGGGGGCAAGGGACTGACCAACCATCATCAGTTGTGTGTGCCCCATTCCCTGACTAAAAGCAGTTCATCTCAGCTTTTGTTCCTCTGGGGCTGTACAAATGTGTGACAGTTCCAGTGTTACTGTGCTGGGAAAGACAACTTACACAATGGAAACCAGTGTTTTTTTAAATCTGACCATGTACTTCATGATATGCATTCTGCCATCCAGCAGGGCCAAGAGCACTTCTGAAAAACCTTCAGAGTGCAGCAGAGGGAGGGGAAGGTGGGAGCAGTACCTTTAGCCAGGTCCATGGGCTGGGAGTCATGCACTAGCCTGTAATTGGTAGGGTCCCAGCTTTCCTCAGAGGTGTAGATCTCAGGCAACTGAATACTGTGTCTCCCACGGATGTTAAAAATGTCACAGGCAGCCTAGATAAAAAAAAACCAAAAAACCACAAAAAATAAAGGCTATTCACAGTAAAAAAAATTCTTAGCATTGTCATAATCCTAATAAGGAGCTATCAGTTTCACACATTGCTGGTTTTTAGTGCCTCTGGTGTGTGGGTTCAGTGAGTTCAGTAAGGTTCCACTTCTATAACAGTACAGCCAAAAAAGATCTACTGCAAAAAATGTTTGATGCCACACTTGTTCATACTGAGCATTCCGTTATCCAAAAGTCTTCACACTATTTTGTGTGGATATTAAAAAATAATAGAAAAGGGACCCAGTTCCCTCTCCTTGTTAGGCAAGCAGTAGAGAACAGGGAAGTTCCAAATTCAGATGTTTGGTTTCCTTAATTTTCCCTCATTTTTATGAGAACTGAACTAAAATGAATGGATGGGTGCCCAGAATATGATTGTATTTCTATATTCACCTGGAAAGCACTGACTGCCCAGCTGCGGAAAGCTTCTTCTTGCCCATTGAGCTCATCCCCTTCACCCACTGGAGTGAGCTGGGAAGCCCCAAGCTGGGCCAGTTTTTGGTCAATGGCATGAGCAAAGGCACAGAACTCTGGGTACATGCTGGAGCCCAGGCCAAACACAGCATACCTGCAGAAGGAGATGAAAAGTAGATTGCTGTGTTATACTATATGGAGTGCTAAAGGACTCAATCACATGCAAACCAAATAATAAAGCATTTTTACCTAATTTTGTTTCTCAGCAGTTTCAGTCTGAGCAAGGAGTCCTTCAAGGCCTGCATAAAAATACATAAAATACTTAAGTTAGAAAAAGACTCTGAATATTCTGATCTGAAACCTGATCCATATCTTACTGAAGGACATGAGATAAATGAAAGGTTTGTCTTTGGTGAGCTGAGTCTCATACACACTTGTGAGGTGAACATTACCTTTCCGTTACCCGGAGAATCTCCATTTCCAAAAGTGCTAGTAACCACCAAAAGAAGTGTTTCTTTTTCCAGGTCACAAATATTGTACTCATCCATGCACAGGATCTGGAAGGAATAAAGCTCATGAGACATTGCTAGCAGACACAAGAACTAGCCTTAGATATCTCAGATGTCTGCTGACCAAACTCACACGGCATTATGCTAAATGAATACAAAATCAAAGTTCTAGTCCAACTCGCATTTACAGAACATTCCAAACAGAGGTTTGGAGAATGGAAAAGCCTGCAGAAGCCAAACTGCTGTCTCCACGAGGCGTGGCTGCTTTGCAGTGCTCACCTTGGTGCTGAAGGCACAGCTGAACAGGCTGCACAGCTTGCTGGCGAGCGTCTCCGACTTGCCCGTCTCTGTGGCGTAGATCACGGTCACCTTGGCCCTGCTGGCCACTGCCCCTCGCATGAGTGAGGATGCAAAGAGCACAGCCCTGGGGAAAGAACAATCACACACAACTTTTAATGGAGCTACACTAATTCAGGTTGATTCACAAACAAGCTAGGAAGGACTGAGCTTGAGCATGGCTTTTCTTTGGAAGATGGTTCAGAAGCAACACGCTCTAGATAGCCCTGAGCAAGAACCTTGGATAGGAATGTTACCTCAGGGTGGACAGGTAAGGCTATGATTCAAACCTCTCAAGTGGTCCCTGTTGTAATATTTTTTTTTTAAAGAAGTAGAGCAGAAACATTACAAGAATAGAATAGTTGGACAAAGCATGAAGAATCTTATTTGGACAACTTACTTTGCCAAGATGCTAAACTTTATTTCTTTTTTCCTTGGCCTCCGGGTCTCATCATGCCACACGTGTGTTTTCCATGCATCCACCTTTAAAGAAAAAGAAGATATGCTTTAGGTAAGGAATGCAAATAGTAAATAAACAATCTGTGTATCTTTAAGGGGCCCAGATCAAATAGAATCCGTATATACAATCCACTGATGTCAGTCTCTGTTGCATTAAACTGCATTTTAGTTAAAGCCAGAGAAGTCAACAGAACTAACAGCATGTCCCACATAAAATAGCTCCTTCTGCACTTCTGAACCTGTCTAGTGAACTTTCATGAACCAGGGCTTGGCACCCAGACTCCCTCAGGTCCCGTATCGCATCAGCACTGCTGAGGTTGTCTGCTAGAGTCGGTTTTTTCCTTTGATGATGTGTACCTGGTAGTAATAGAAGGGAGTGAGGACATAGTTCAACATCTCTTGGTGGAACACGGGGGTTATGCTGCCTGACATGGGAGGCACAATCCACACCCAGTCTGCGGGGCAGCCGCCCCGCGCGCGGTACTCGCTCTGCATGTACTTCAGGAAGGACTCGGAGGCCGAGTGGTGATCCATGATGGTCACATTCTGTTTCTAGAACAATGGCAGAGAGAAAAACATGCATTAAAAACCCTATTCTGCCCTTCTACCTGCTGTAGCTAAAGTAATCCTCTTGCTTTGGTCAATATTTCACGGACTTTACTCAGAGTAAAGGGAGTATTTTATGGGAAATAAATACTATCAGCAGTTACTGTAAAGATACAGATTGAGGGCGGGCCTTTGATTAAGAACTCTTAGATCTTTCCTTTAACATCAGCATTTTACCTCTGCAGCACTAGGAGTGCATGCTGCAAAGCCACTGACTCACTTTTACCCACTTTTCATATTGTCGTGATATGTTAAACTGGAATTGAAAATAACATATATTAATCCAATGGCTTTATATAGGTTTTGAAACATAGATAAATGTGTTAAAATAATGGAAAATCTTTCCCTTAACTTCATATACTTCTTTCTCTTCCTTCTGCTTTTACCTGTGAGGAAACATGGATTCCTCCACTTTCTCAGGTGAAAATCAAGAATAATTCTATTGGAATCACAATGTCATCTCCACTGAGTGAGAGGAAAAAGGGACAGTGAGTGTGTCTTTTCAGATCTCACACTCAGTGACCTACCTGGAAGCTGTGAAGCACAGCCACATTGATCTCTACAACAGCTCGGTCCTTCCATAATGATGACAGTTTGTTTGTTTCCAGTCCCATTCTCCTCCCTACCTCCTACATGTGATAAAGAGAGAGAAAAGGGAAAAGCAAATTTACTGTATGGAACTTAGACCCTATGATTTCTCAGCCTCATCACCTTTGTATCAGGAAAAAGTTGTGCAGAAGGGGAGAGAGTCAGTCTCATGCTGGGGAAAGTGATGGCAGCAGAAACACCTGAGATTAAAGGTAAACTGGAACTTTGGAGTTCTGGTTCTTGAGGACGTTCCAGCTTCACAAAGCAGGAAGTGGTTCTCTTTTCCAAAACCTCCTGCACCGAGGTCCCCCCCGTGCAGCCCAGCCCGGGGCCCTGCAGCAGCTCACCTTGAGGACGTTGTAGCGCTGCGCGTCGCAGAAGTCGCGCACTCCGATCTCTGTGCCCATGTACCAGCCATTGAAGGGGCACGCGGGGAACTCCAGCCCTCCCACCTCCAGCAGCATGCCGGCCACGGCGGGCAGCGCGTACCACCTCAGGTCCAGCTCCTTAAACCACTCGTACCTGCCCAACAAGCAGTCTGAGTTATTATCTGTGCGCCTTTTCCTCGAAAAGGAGAAAAGCCCAGGAAGATAAAGAGTACCAGTTCCAGGAGGAACCCCTGGACCAGGGTCTGCAGAAACTCACAGCAGTTTTCAGTGCAGTATTTGGGAATCAGCAGCTACAGGAACTGCAGAACCATATTACAGAGTTCTGCAATCTGCAGGCCAGTCCCAAAACAAAGAGGAAGAAAAAAGCAATGAGAGAAAGGCAATAAACACTGTTATGAGTGCAGTGTTACATGTGTATTACACTAGCATAAGAAATTAGGATTTTTAAAATTCTGAATATAATTGAAATGTAGATTGGGAAAAGAGTTTTCAAACAAAATGGTCATTTGCTTCCTTAATTTAAATCTCATTTCATTGTTCTAACAGGCATTTTATCTTTCAAACGATTTATCATCATTTCATCCTGACAAAGAACTCATAAAACAACTGCCAGAGGCACGGCCCAATAACCTGCCAAGGTGAGGCAGAGGCAAAAATGCAATTATCTAAATCTTGTGTTCTTACTTTGGATGCTCCATTGGCACTTGGAGGACAATTTCTGGAGGTAATTCAAATATTTCTGGGTCTTGGCCATTTGCTTGGAGAACAAGTGGAAGCACATCAAAGCGGCCATATTTCGGCTTCCACCCAAGCTTGATGCACAACTGCAAATACAGAAAGCACATTTTGTGTTCTTTTCAGGTTTCCCCTCCAGATCTGAAGACAAAAGAATTTTAACCCTCTGAAACCTGCTGAGCTAAATTCTAAGTGAGAAAGGTTCTCTTTGCCATTCGAACAATGCTGAGCCATGCTGATGAAGTGCAGGTTGTGTGCCTGGTTGTGTCCCCTGGCAGTATTAGCTCCCCCTGTTCTGAGATGGAGGGCAGCACTTTTGTATCAGAGCTGTAGGAAATTATTGTTCCTGCACCTGGAACTTGTGGGGCAGAACATCCCATCCACTCCTCACCTCCCTACCACTGCATAAACGTGCGAGGAAGGAGCCCCAGGGAGGTGGGTTAGCCGAGATGGGAAGCAGCTGTGGTGGAGTTTGGAGCTGTACCTGAGTGAACTCCACAGTGGCAGGGTCTCCAAGGACAGAGCCACCTGGCCTTTGGTAGCCAGCGTAGCGGATCAGCTGGCTGTTCCACACGCGGAAATCGTGCTGCCCGTCCGTCCTGGGCGGGAACACCGTGATGGCTGACCTGCCCAGACACAGGACACACCTTACAAACGCACCCTCCCTGTCCACACAGAAACTGGTACCAGCAGAAAATGTTTTACATTTCTAAAATGAACATCAGTAGGAAAAAAATCATTCATCCTCTTTATCCACCTCCCCAAATCTTCAAGTCGTCTCTTTTCCCAAGGAATTGCAAAAGGTTTTGTAACATCAGCCATGAAAGTTATAAATTTTCAAGATGGCTGATGGAAGACATGAGAAGAAAATTTAAGTACCAGGAAAATTAAGAGCAGAGACAAGTTGTCAAAATGTTTAGATAGACCATTTCATGTGTTTTTGATGTCAGATCTGGATGTGATTTTTGTTGTTTAAAATTAAAATTAGAGACCTACCTTATATTACCATTGTTTGTGGCATACTGAATATGATGACAAATATGCTCAAACATTTCCTTGGCTGTTTTACAGTCCCGTGCATCAAACACCTGTGTGTTTCCAACAGAAATGTAAAGAAGACTAATTTTGAAACAGTAATGCAAAGTTGTTATTTTTCCTATGCACTTAAGGAATGGAAAGATTGTGGCTTCACTAGGAAAGGTTCATTTTTATAGTTCTTATATGCATCATTTTCAGCCATAACAATCCACCAAGGACCAGAACATGTACCATGACACACCTGGTTCCTACACTCACACTGCTACACATTTTCATTCAGCCATGAAGTAGAGAACTACAAAGAAACCAACCTCCTGATATGGACAGGAGGGAATCCTCAATGGAAACAGTGTTGTAGCAAAGGAAAGGCCATTGTTCTGAGTCACAGCAGAGGACTGCTTGGCTACAGCTTAGGTGTAGATGCACAGCTCACCTGCAGGTTGGCCCACTGGATTCTCCCGATGCACCTGGGTGCATTCCTCCAGGCCTGCTTGGCAGCAAAGGTCAGCTCATCCTTTGTCAGCTGGTAGGTTCCTGTTGTTTCTATCTCCTTGGTCACTGCTTCCAGCCGGCCCAGCTGTTCTTTGGTTTTTGGCCTTTTGAACAGGAAAAAGCCAGGAAAAGAAACAATGAGGATTTCATTCAAAGTGCAGACGTTCTCTTTATATTTTGCCTTCAGAATTTAAGACTTGTCCTTATGGAGTGCAAGGACAGAGCCTACTGGCCCCATGAAGAAACTAACACACTAGAAATTTAAGTAGTGACACCATCCTTTCACCACCCAATACATGCATGGACTGGGCACAAGCTATTCTGTATAAGTTTTTGGTTAAAATTTGGATTTTCTGGATGAATTTGAAAAAAATCACAAGGAACTAAAAAAAAGAGAACAGGTGAGTTTCAGGGCACATGTAGGCTGAGAGTGACTGTCCTCTCAAAGATCCATTGTGTTTACAAGGCCACAGCTCTTCTGAGTAAAGTAAGTAAGATTTTCATTCCTAAAGGGAAGTGCTGAGCAATTCCTTTGTCAAGGAAACCAACTCTAAAATTCTTGAGTTCGATAACAGACAGTGAAGTCAAAACATTAGAAAATATTTATCACAGCAGAGACAAAAATTGTTTTGTTGTCTTACAGACAGAATGAAAATAGCCTGCACTGTCTGAGAGTTTTCACATTTTCAGCAAGATGAAAGATCAAGGGCAAGCATATGAGATAGTGTAAATCAATGTGATCAAACAGCCATGAGCAGAGACACAGGGATGTGCAAGTACAATAGGCTGGTGAGGACAGCCTGTGGGTAATACAGGGACTTTCAGAAAGATTCAGAGGGAAGAAAGATTTGAAAGTAGTTCAAAGTGTCTAAAGAAGTGGTCATTATGTGGCTGAGTCCCTTTGAAAGTTTGATAATGTTTTCTAGTGGGATGAGCAAACACTGGACTGTTGCTTGAAAGCTCATCATGTGGAATGTCACTGCAAGCCCTTGGACATCAACCAGCTGTTCCAGCATTTCCTGCAACAAGATGCCTCAGCACCATGGCCATTTTTGTGAAAACACAAACCCCTCTCAGAATGCTCAGTGAGCTTATGCTGATAGCACAGAGCAAGGGTGAGAAGCAACACTGGCCTTCCAATCTTTGGCTAAAGCCTTGAGAGGAACACAGGGAAAAGATACTTGGAACAGCAGAAACAAAAGGCATTTTCCACACTGAGACTGATCTGAGTGCAGCTATTCCCAAGAAAACAGGAGGTAACACTGGCAGAGTCCTCAGCGTACTGGAATGTAGCACACTCCAAAAGAGACTGATCTGAGTGCAGCTATTCCCAAGAAAACAGGAGGTAACACTCTGGCAGAGTCCTCAACGTACTGGAATGTAGCACACTCCAAAGGGATGGAGCTGAGGAGTGCATGGTCCAGGTCCTTCCCTGTGTTCCCAACACCTTGGATTGGCAGATGGAGCACATGAAGTGCTATGACAGTTTGATCTGGCATTTTTAACAGTCTTTAATGCACGCTATGTAACAGGAGAGTTACCAAGAGCTGTGAAGAAACCAAACCCTCCTGGAGGCTCACAGATAGACAGGTAGGTAGAGGATTTTATACCCAAAAATCAAGTTCACCTACTCTTTAAATGAACTGTAGTATTGCTTGAGGAAGTCTACTGCCTGAGGTAAAAGATCCTCTGGTGGAACTGGCCCATCTCTGGTACCTCTCACCAGGCCCTTTGGGGTCATGAGTGACCCTTGGCAGGCCTTGGTCTGGCAGCTGATAACCTGAAAAACAATAAAATATCAAAAAATAATGTTGCACTCTGCGTATTTTAAAATTTCTGAAAACTCTCTGTTCATATTTCCATATTTTACCTCTTTTGCAGTCAGGTGTAGTGTGTCAAGAAAGCTGGATCCATTTTCCAAGTTTCTTATTCTTACATGTCTTGGACATCCTGATATTTGGTTTGAAACTTTGATGTCATTTGGAGGGAGATTCTGGGCAGAGAACAGACAAAAATGCATACTGTCTTCAGAGCTATTGAATATCTTTCAGTTTCATTTTAGATTTAAAGTTAACATCAAAATATTTCCGTTTAAATTCAATAAACTAGATATAAATGTGATCTGCTCCAACATGATTATTTGACTACAAAACTACTGAGCTAATCTACAGTTTGATATGAAATGAAGGAAAAAGTATTTTTGTACTAATCAAACAGGGTCTGCCACTGCAAATACCTTTACAATTTCAGTAAATCCTCTGAGTATCTCTGAGCATTGTAATCACAGTCTCAGGAAAACAGTGAACCAATTTCAGAGACAGGACAGGTTTGTTACTAAAGGCTTTCAAAGGTATATAAAGGAATCAGGCATCCCAGTCCCCATGGGGTCACTTCTTCCTTTGAGTCTTATCAGTGCTCCATTTTCACAGAAAAGAACTTTCACCCAAAGATGTCCCAGCAGTCCTAACTCCTGCAGCCCCAGTCAGACCTCTCCAGTTGTGAGCAGCAAGCACCACTCACGTGAACTGCCACCATCAAACACTGATGCTGGGAACAGACCTCTCCTCCCTCACTGGGCTTTGCTGGAGTCATGATAGGCAGCCTCTCCATCTGCTTCTTGCTGGCATTGTGCAATTTGGCATCACCCTTTTCTGAGCTTCAACGGAGAGAAAGAAAAGTCAGCACAAGGCAACATCCTTTACGTTAGGCTTTGCTTTCAGCATCAGCAGGAGATGCTCAGTGCTGTCTCTGAAATGTGTCCTGAGCCATAAGCCAGCAGGGGCAGGGGGCAGGACTCAGCAGGAAAGCCACAGAACCCCTTCCCAGAGCACTGTGTGCAAGGGAAGGGTGTGAAACCTGAAATAAGTAACACCCTGAGAAGACTGAGAAATTTAAGATGCATGTGCAACTTATTTTATACAGTGTTGTGTATGAACTGCATCACAGTATTACTTCACCAACTTAATTACAGTATAAATAATCACTTTGCTATTTTTATAGCATACACACCTCCTGAGACTTAGAATACATGAAACCATGTTAACTCACAAAATAAATTTAAGACTATGAAAGAGAAAGCAAGATGATTTAAATCCTCAATGACTGTTTAACTTCAACACAAGTGTTTAATGTTCATTACCAAGTTACATCACCCAGAGACCCACAGTCCTTTGGTCAATGTCAGTATTTTGGAAACACATTACGGGTTTTCTCCAGGACCCAAACCACTTAATATCTTCCCTTTTCAAATCAAAGATAAACTATGAAACCATTAAAACCAGGATCTTACCCATGGATCTTCCTATTTTTCTCCACGTTGTTGTTGATGTCCTTCTCTCTGGGGCACTGGCTCCTGGCAGCATGAGATTTGAACACAAACTGCCAGGGGCACAGCATTTCGTATGGTTTTTTTGGTGGTTTTGCTTCACTGTGCTGAAACCTTGTTTTGTGTGATGTGGGAACACTTCTAAGGACATAAAAAACCCAACAAGGTCAGTTTTTACCCAAGAGGGCAACTCCCTTTAACATCTTTCAGAAACTCACCAGCCTAACTGATCTGATCTGACATCCTGTGTTTAAAATGAAAATTGCTCAATTCTTAGGACAGTGATACTAAAACTAAGACTTTGTCAGTGTAACATGCAGCCATGCATTAATCTAAAACATTGGCAAGAGAATTTCAGATGACCCCTGGTCGTGTAAAGCGGCAAATATTGGTGTCAGAGCAGACCACAAGCTTAGAAAAGGGATGTGAAATGTTGCTGTGTTAATCACACAGCAATGAAAAAATCTTGTTCACATATGAACCTAACCATTTTGCAGTGCATCCACCTGCCAGAGACAAAGAGGATTCTGAGAGGCTGAAGTCTGTAGCTTTTAAGATGTGTAGCACTTATTTCAATGTAACACATAGCATTTACATAAGGGTGTACAAAGTTTATGCTATTCATTTTAACACACATTTTCTGCTCATTTTTGAACATAAGATGGATTTTGTGCTAGGGGTGTGACAGAAGAGAATGATCAAGCCAGTAAATTGCAGGGATAGAGAGAATTAGCCCCAGCATTTGAATCTGGTTCATAACAGAAAAAACCTGATGTTTCCAAGAAGTTAGAGACAAAGGAAGAAAATAGACATTGTTACATATTCCTGATGTAAATTATGTCTTATTTTGATATTTACATTACTTTTACAGTGAAAGTTAAATTTATGCTGGACTCTGAAGATACTGACTGCTCTGAAGTTACACAAGAAGAGAAATCCATCCAACTGTCTGTGCAGAAACTGCAAGGTGTTAGGATTGTTTGCTACTCCAGGTGAGAGAAATAATGTGTAATAAGCATTTCTCTGCAGTCACAAAATAGGAAAAAAAATCTAAATTATTATTCTGCAATAAAAAATGCTGTGATGTGCCTATACAATTTTGTAAAATACAGGGAGAAAAGAGAGGAGAAATGGAGAGGGGGAAGAAAAGAAAGAAACAAAGAAGGAAAGAAAGAAAAAAAGGAAAAAAGGGGAGAAACCTCACACAAACATTTAAAAAATACACAGGGAGAAAAAGGAGGATGAGGAGGAAAAAGTGAAAAATAACAGGAAAAAAGAAAGATAATAATAAAAAGAAAAAATAAGAAGAAAAAGCAAAAAGAAAGAGAGCAGACTCACATTTCCCTTCACTGGCACTCAGCAAGAAGCTGCTCTGTGTCCTGCCCCGTGGGTGCTCTGGGGAGCACTGTCAGTGTTACCATGCACAAACCTTTAAATCAGCAGAAAGGAGGGACAAAGTTTTCAGAGCAGCTGGACAGCTTGGAACTAGAGCAGGAGACTGAGTCTGACACTTTGCTCCTAATACAGAAAAAAAGATACAGTTTGCCATGTAATTACTTAGCCTGTGAGTGGCAGTAAATGAATGACAGAATGAACACCTGGACATGGTGCTTCTTACCGTGCTTTTGTGAGAGGTGTCCCAGCCCTCAGGGAGAGACTCCTCTCTCCCAAAGCTTCTTGCCTTCCACCTCCCAGGCTCTGTATCCCTCCCAGGAGGCAAAAGCATTTTATAGTGCAGACCATGTATGCAAAATAGCTCTGAGCAAGGCTGGACATGGACAGTGCAACTGGGGATTCCCCTGATTCCTGTCGTGTCCACTTGGAGAAGTGGAGGGTGTGTGGCTGTGAGCAGCATTACACAACCGGTGCGAGGAGGGAGGCAGCTCCTGCAGGTCAGCATCCCTCCTTCCCTGCTGCAGCCTGGACTCCTGCTGCTGCTCCCGGAGAGGGCAGGCTATGGCACTGAACCTGTCTGCAGCCTTGCACACAGTGTTAAAATGAAAAGAAATAAATGCTGAAGGGCTTCTGACAGCTGTCATCCCTGTGTGGCCAGTCTCCAGGCACCCTCCTGTACACCAGCCATGGCTGTAGGAAGAGACTGAGCAGCTTCAAGAGAAATGTTACAGAGCTGCAGAGCTTTACAGTACAGGCCAGGAAAGAATTAACCATCTTCTTATAACTAAGGACAGGTATTTTAAGCTTCACCTACACATACTTCCTTACTTTTTATCAAGTTTTAAAGGATCTTTCTCAAGAGAGTATTTGTAGAATTTCTTGCTCTCCAGAGCTTCCTGTTCTGCCTGTTGCTGCCTGTGAGATTTGTCCCCAGGTGCTTTTCCAAAGTATTGGGAATACTGGAAGGAAACTGCAACTTCCTGGAGTACAAACCATTCCCACCATGCTGTATGTGGGAATACCAGAGGGACAGCTGGATGAGGAAGATGGGATTGCAGAGCTGATTTTCGGTGTCTGACAACATGAGAGCACGTACCTTTCATAGAACCAGGCTTCCCCCTGCGGTCTGGAAGGCAGAACCCCCCTGGGACAGGGCTGGCAGCAGTGCCCAGTGCTGTCAGGCACCTGCAGCCCACCAGTCTGGTGCCAGACAGTGCCCCTACAAGGATTTTCACCTGCCTTATTTGTTCCTTCCTGTTATGTATGGCTATTTTAAGGAAACTGTTTACAAATTAAAGATGACTAATAAATCTGCTGAATAATGTGAATCAAACGAGGTACATTGATAACTAGGGAAAGATTTACAGTTGCTGACCAAAGATCTACAGAAATGAAGCATAAGGCAGCCAGAGAAATGAGGAAATGTGTGTTCTTTTCTCAGCTGTCACTCTTCTACTGGGCAAGCTTGGGCAAGGTGTTTTCTTCTCTGTGTCTAGCTTCTCTGTTTGAAAATGAATGTTAGATGATTGTGTAAAGCATTTCTAGAGGCAAAGCAAGTGCTGTGCACACGTGTTCATGCACGAGGTCCCCTGTATGCATCCCATCCAGGACTGCTAGAGATGAATCTCTTCATACACAGACCTGAGTTTTGTGAGCATTCATCTGCTTGGCTTTATCAAGCCTGTGCTGCTTAGCATCCACTGCTCGTGAATTTTCACAGTTGGATTTTCTTTTAATGTGGTGCCTTTCTTCTCACCAGAATTAGCAGGTGAATTCCTTTGTTTAAAATATTCATCAGCAGATGTAATCAGCAGGCAGAAATGATGTGTGAGAACTGTGCCACTCAATGCCATGCCAGAAAATTCTGCCTTTACATTCTTCTTTTGCAATTGCTACTTTGTAACAGGGTTTAAAAAAAATTCTCTTTTCATCCTTTCCTTTCTTATTAACCTCTTTCTTCTATAGAACATGGGGAATCTTAATGTCTAGTACTGGAAGAAAGAACATATCTTAGTAGAAGTTCATTTGAATTCAGTGGGTTCTAAGCTTTTAGTATTCACCCTCCTTATTTGCCTGTGCTTGGGACTGCTGAAATCTAGGAAAGGCCATGTAGGGATTAGATATGAAAAATCAGATTTGGGATCACCAGAGGAGGAGAAACATCTTTCCTTAGGAGAATTGTTAAAAGGATTGGCTCAGGTACAGCCATTCAGGGAACTGCTTAATCACTCCAGTTGCTCAAACAGGACCTGATTTTTTACTCACTTGAAATCAATAATAAAACTCCCCCTGTACAGTAAGAACAACAGAGAACCATTCAATCCTCAGGTGGATCAGGGATTAACTAAACAAGCTCACTGGGCACTCCTTCTACAAATATTCTACAGGGCTTGGAAGGTTTTTCCTTCAAAAAACCAATTCTGCCCATTTGAACAGACACTTCTCCCTCTGCCATATCAGAGTGCAAAAACTGCTTGCTTTCCTTGCATTAACTTTGATGAAAGAGGTGCCCTTTCAGAGCAGACTTTGACCTATTCAATGCTGTCATCTTGACTTAAATTTTGTTTTGTTTCTGAGTGTCTGATGGTTTGTAGCTTCAACAATCATCTCTCTGCAATCTCCTTCCAAGTGAGTCACATTCTGTGTCTGATATTATAATATACATCATATCTGCAAGACTCTGCATGAGCTCAAGCAGTCATATTTCTGAAAACATTTACAAACCAAGCTCTGGTTGTAAGGTTGCTCCTCTGAGATCAGGGCATTTTGAGTCTTCAAAGAACTACGACACTGAGGCAAAGCTGGTGACAAGGAGGGCTGATCTTCCCAGCTTCATGGAACCCAAAGAGATGTTCAGCTGTCCCAGCATTTCACAGGTTATTAGTGAACTCTTTCTAACTCCCTTTTCCTAACTAGTGTAACTATTGTCCAAGATGCCTCTTGCAGCAGTGCTGCATGTGACTGCACAATAAATACAGGACTGCAACCCCTGTAAGCACTCAGCATCTCAGATTTGTTAGACTACTCTCACATCTGGTGGTTTCTGACAAAGATACAATTAATAACAATAATAATTATTGCTGTTCCCAAATATCTCCTCTCACTGACTACCATCAGTCATCTTCTTTTACACTGGTTTGGTTTTTCATTCCCCAAAGAAAATTTGTTTGGTTTGAATCCTCCCCCAAACTTTGGGGTATTTTTTGGTGTGTTTGTTTGTTTGTTTGTGTTCTGATTGCTGACATTCCTTTAATGGTTTTAAGACATTCACCATTAACTGTACCCCCTTCTTCATTGGCTTCTTTATTATTTCAAAATGTTCCTGATAAAGTGGGGATAATAACTCTACCAAAAGCAAAATAAAAGATCCAGGCCTGCCACTTGAAAACATGCAAAGAAAAGTAGGATCCCAGCCCAGTCTGGACTGTTTTTCAGTTTCTGCAGATTGAAGGTACGTTCAAAGCAGCAGTTTAGTGTGGAAAGTGCAGTGTTCTGTTTACCATGCCCTGCTCTCCAGTGGAAGATTGAATGTCAAATGATGGCAGGGCAGGGTGGAAGATTTCCCAGTATGACCATCTGAGGGTGAAAACGAAAGTTAAGGAGAGTGCTAAATTTGCAGAGACGTGCCAGTAAACCCATTCCTTCCTGTCTGCCTGCTGTCAGTTAGGCCAAACTCAGACATGCAGAAAGAACTGAATTCCCTCATCAGTCACCTCTCCAAAATTCCCAGGGAT